AAATACAAAAATGAAGTATATTACCAAGTAACCCAGTGAGAACTGCTTGCCTATCATTTTAGTTCAAAATACAAGAAGTTTTATTCCAAGCAAGCATCGCAAGCCCGCTAGGTTAATTTCTGCTGCTTGCTTGGAATAAAATTTCTTGTATTTTATATTAAAATGATAGGCAAGCAATTCTGTTAAAAGCACTGGCACTGAACGTTTCGCTTCGTGCAGTCTATTTTGCAACTTTTTTAAAATGATGTCAATCCCGAAAATCTCGGGATTAGGAAAACTTAATCCCGAAAATTTTGGGACTGAAAAGTAGTCGGGATCCTGGGATCCCGATTTTCGAGATCCCGGGATCAAATCCTCTAGTGAGGTGTCATTATCTCTAGACTAATATAATTTAAAAACGAAATAAAAATATCAATTGAAAAATCAATAATAAAAATAGAATATAGATTTTTTTTCTATTGTATATGCTACTTGTCTATATCTGCATTTATAGGCACACTTATTTACAAAAAGTTATGCACCAAGATAGAACTGTCTGATTCCTGTAAACTCAGCCTACAACTGTGTCTCAAGATAGTACAATACATAAATAATTACAGATGTAATCCATGTCAGATGATGCTATCAGAGTACCTTAAAATCAATACTAAACTTCTATACAAATGAGACTAAATGTCTCACATGTGTTCAGAATTTGCATTATACTGTACCTGTTTGGAAATCTTCAATCAGGCATGCTTGTACTATGCACTCAGACACTGCACAGCTGATAGAATTTGAAAAGGCTGCATCACCAGGTGAAGTAAGCAGGATAATCACTTCACCAAATTGCCCACTATCTGGGCTATTCTGTCCTGACTGTGGTGATGTTTGGGGTAGAGGATCACACATACATGGCAGGCAGGTTCTGGACTATCAGAAGAAATAATTTGTCTATCATCCAGAGACAGGTAAAATCTCACTACAGAATTCTGTCTCTTCCTATATCATTGGCAAGTGACTAGCAGATGCAAATTTGTAAACACAGCACTACTACATGCCAATAGCATCTCATCATCATCAGCTAGCTTCATTTGCAGTAGTCCTGTGATAGAAAAGCATGGAATGCTTTAGACTGATTATCTTTAGTGATAAATTCTGATTCTGTTTGGAAACAGACAGCACTATATTAAAATACACAATGACAAGCTGTCATCTGCTGAGCATTTGTGGGATCAAAGAAACACCAGCTTCAACCATCTATATGTGAGGGATTTGGAAAAACATTTTCAATATTTGTGAGCAAATCTGTCACAGGATAGCATATAATGCCTGTATGCTTCCATTCCTGATCATACTGTCACATATATCTAAGCAAGAGGAAGTCCTATAAGATATCATCACGTTCACTTTATTAAAGTTTCAATCAATTCTAATACCACCTTCTTGATGTGTAACTTCTGCATCAGTGAGTGTTATTAACTTACATCATATTTACATTTACTATGGAATATGGATAATCTATTTTGCATTCTACAAATCATGTTCTAAAATAGTTTTATTTTTTTGAGTACAGTAATACCTCGACTTACACTACCCCGACTTACGCGAACCCGGAGTTACGTGATTTTCAAATCTCATCAATTCGTCTTTTGTTTGAGCGCCACGCAACTCTTGATTACTCACTGCCCCCACACTATTGTTCAGCTTACATGTTCGGATGTGTCACGCCAAATCGACACATAGCTACAATTTATTTTGTGTTATTTATTTCTGTGTTTGTTATATCTACAGAGACTTGAGAGACTCTATGTGGTGATTTCTTGTAACCGTGAACGAATCAAAAGATGAGATAAGATTAACAAGAACATTTATTAGCTTACATACATCCGACTTGGAGTTTACATAAATTGCGAAATTATACCCCACTTATGCGGTTATCGCTCAGTCCCACTTATCGCATAAGTTCAGGGTATTACTGTATCTTAAAATATTACACAAATGTTTGCGAAATACTATTTGAAATAAAATTAATTAAAGATGGTCTTTTTAGAAACTCAAATTTTATTTATCATTTTTGAAACAACATGGCTCCATCTTCAGAATAGAACAAATATTATATAATTCTAGGACCAACTTAATAAATACAATCAATCTGATTTTAAAAATTATTCATGTTTTTTAACTTAGTTCCAGAAAGTTATAAGATTGAATGTTTTTCAAAATCAGGAGTCAAATTGCTTTGAAAATGTTAAATCATTATCTAAATTTCTGAAAAAACTATTAGTTATACAGTAAAACTTGCAAAAGCTGGAACTTGACAGGACCATCTTTTTCCTACCTCTCATAGATTTTTTTATATTGACAGAATATAATTTTATCACATTTCTATTGCTCTCTATTGCCTTTCCTTTATATGAGGTTTGGTGAAAGTTTTTTTTATATGTTTAGTCCAATTGCATTTCTTACTGATGTCTACATATATTAAGATGATATTAATTACAAATATATAGGCAAGGTTCACCTTTTAATAAAATAATCTATTTTCTTAGTTATCTTTTGATTTTAATGAAGTTATGGATACAAATTTGTAAGTTCAGTTTAATCAGAAAATTCTTGGTCTTCTGTAGCTTTTCCAAATTGTTTCAAAGCTTTTATGTAGTTGAAAATTTGTGTTTGATTTAAAGACTTGGATTCTTCTATTAGCTGATCTTCATAATGGTCACCTCCTTTAGTTTGCAAATCTACAATTTTGTGAAGATTTATATCATCAATTTCTGTGGGACAATTTACATAAGCATAAAAAATAAAAGCTCAAAATAGAAGACTGTATCTTTCAGGATGCTTTAAAACTCCTCTAACAAAAAATAATTTCCTGATAGATGGAATGGCACTGATGCAGAAATAGAGAATGCACAAATTTCCAGATTTTGCATTTACAATATACTTCCTCATATTTAATTGCAATAACATATCATCTTTCATTTCATCTGCATTTCACAGGTTCTAGCTTTCAGATAACACTTGTTAGGGTAATATAATTGTTTTATTAAAAACTATTTAAACTTACCATCTCTGAAAGATTTCCATGTTACTCAGGTTCTGACTTTTGCAGGTTTTACTATATAATGATATAAGGAAGATGGCTAAGTAGGTAGGTACTGATTACTGTGAAGAATCTACATTTCAATCTGATCCAGAACCTCACAATTTATCATGATTATACAATTCAGTTTGGGAATCATTCAATCTCCTTACATCATAATGCTGATCATGACTGTATAACAAAATTATAACAGACTATATAACATCTTGTTAGCTTCCATATCTTATATAGTGGCTACGTAATTTTTTACACTTTTATGTTAAAACCAAATTATTTCAAAAATCTTAAAAAAGTAACACCCAGACTTGTGGGAACGATTTTTCTTTGTTAATCAATTATATGATAATGTAAGTCAGATGGCTGTGTAACTATATGTTGTCTTAGCACTATCCACATTAAAATTTGATCATAAATTTGTTTTTCATAGTAAGTTAGGACATTTTTCTTCTCTTAGGAATTGTCCATGAATTACATAATGATATTTTTATACTTTTCAACTACCATCCCATCATGTATACATACCCACCCCCAAAATTTCACAATGCTTATCTTAATCCCTTAATTTTACTAAGAAATAATACATAGCATAGGATAAGTTGTTGCCATTTAACCAATAATTTCCCAGTAGCTTAATCACCACATATTTAACAAACATCATCAATCAATTTAAAGTCCCTAGCATTGTATAGAGTTTTTGTAAACATCCATTCTTGCAATGTATCATAATTATTACCTGCATACCCACCATGATACAAATGCGGCTCTGAATGAGGCAATTGGGACCATATCAGAGCTGTAGACCATACCCATACAACTAAAAAAAAAAAAAAAAATCAAGGAACAGATGGTCTACAAGTAACCAACCATTCATGAGATATAGTCCTTCCGAAATCAACTGCTTGATAAACATACAAGAGGATTAATAGAACATACATTATGACTCCAATTGCACCTCAGTAGTAATCAATGCAATGGAGTTTCTTATGTTTTATGAGCTTTTATCTGTCTCTAGTAAAGTGAAAAAAACAGTTGATTTTTAACATTGTTTTAAGAAAAGTTTTGTATTTCTTTACTTTTAAATTTTACCATATTTTTGAAGGTACAAAATTCCAGATAAGCCGATTTCGGGGGACTATATCTCGTAGAGTTAGGGTGTGACTATGCAGACGCAAATTACAAGTGAACAAGAAGTTGTGAGTGATATAGTTCTCTCAAAGGAAACCATGCACAAGTGAGAAGCGAGAAATATCACTGGCTAGAGCAAATTTCCAGTTCTTGCACATATCTGACAAGGTTTGATATTTATCTCATCTCACCTCTTCTCGCCACATATTCTTACTCGCTCGCGTCTGCATAGTCGCTCCCTTACAGTTAGAGAATCAAATCATTCGACTCATTTTATTTACGGGCATAGTCTACGTCTCCGACAAAGTCTCAACCGACTCATTCAGAGCTGTATTCGTACCCCCACCACCAGCCATATCTGCATTACATAATTTACGGACAGCCCCTTACTGCGACTCCGTTGCGAATCAAGCCCATCCATAACGAGACTAAGGTGCCGTCGTCTCACTTTAACAATTTACATAAAGAGCCCACAATAAAAGACTTATGTTTTTCTGCGTGTTAAAAGTTAAATACTTTATAAACAAATTCAAATTATAGATCTAAACTCAGTAACTCAACAGCTGCTCTGCTTAATAAACTCAATGATCAGAATACTTCTGCATTTGTCTATTTTCATTGGAAAATAATCTAAAATACATTTCTTAATTAGAAAATCATCATGTTTACACATAATTTAAGCTGTAAATAAGGAATATTAAAAAAAAAATTAATTAAATGAACAAAATACAAAGCATCTATATTACAAATTTGCAATAAAATGAGAAAATAAATGTTTTCTTATTCAAACTAATTAAATATATAAATAACAACAAATATATTTGATAATACAGTAAACGTATTTACTAACAATCACTTGGTTCCGGTAAATCTTCAAATAAATCCATAATTTGAACAAAGATATAACCAAAGAAATATAAAGAGTAACTCTTCTATCACAATTCTTCCATTAAAATGTTACTAAAATATTATTGGTTGTCTAGTAAAATAAAATACAAAATTAGCCAATAACGTTACTTAATACATTTTTTTTTTTTTTTTTTTTTTTTTTTTTTTTTTTTTTTTTTTTTTTTTTTTTTTTTTTTTTTTTTTTTTTTTTTTTTTTTTTTTTTTTTTTTTTTTTTTTTTTTTTTTTTTTTTTTTTTTTTTTTTTTTTTTTTTTTTTTTTTTTTTTTTTTTTTTTTTTTTTTTTTTTTTTTTTTTTTTTTTTTTTTTTTTTTTTTTTTTTTTTTTTTTTTTTTTTTTTTTTTTTTTTTTTTTTTTTTTTTTTTTTTTTTTTTTTTTTTTTTTTTTTTTTTTTTTTTTTTTTTTTTTTTTTTTTTTTTTTTTTTTTTTTTTTTTTTTTTTTTTTTTTTTTTTTTTTTTTTTTTTTTTTTTTTTTTTTTTTTTTTTTTTTTTTTTTTTTTTTTTTTTTTTTTTTTTTTTTTTTTTTTTTTTTTTTTTTTTTTTTTTTTTTTTTTTTTTTTTTTTTTTTTTTTTTTTTTTTTTTTTTTTTTTTTTTTTTTTTTTTTTTTTTTTTTTTTTTTTTTTTTTTTTTTTTTTTTTTTTTTTTTTTTTTTTTTNGGCTATGTCTTGGGCTACTCAAATATTTTACGTTTTTAATACTAAATTAACTTCTGAAGTATAATTTTTTATTGTTTTTATGTTTTTCAATATATTTATTTTGTTCGTACAAAATAAAAAAATAATTTTTAACGATACAATAGTCTTCGTTAGGCTTAACATCGACGAAGATTCAACGCGAAGCGACACGTAACGGAGAAAAATGTCAAGATGGGATAAATTAATATATTTTTTTCGTGCATAATGGATTATCCGAAATATCGATCTTCCGAACAACCCCAGTCCCCAATTGATTCGGATAATCGACGCTCTACTGTATTTTTTCTAAGAGAAATATTTTGGTTAGTTACATCTGGCAACAGTTCGGCCGCCAGCTAGAACGATGTGCTACTCACTAGATTCGAGTCATAGGGCGAATAGAACGAATACTACAGTCACTAGATTCGAGTCATAGGGCGCATTTGGAAATTATAACCGGTGTTACCGGTAACGGGCGATAGTTACCTAGACGTTTAGAAAATGCGACCTAAATAACCAACCGTGTTTAAAAATCACAGTGATTTTGTAATTTATCATATCATGAAAAAACAGAGAAACATAAAAGGAAAGCGCCAATTCAAGGCCAAAAGAAACTGGATCCAAAAAATACTCCAAGACACGACAATAATGAGTAAAGGCAACAGGCTGCAAATTGCAGTCAGCATGATATGCCATCATGTTCTGTGTTCTATTGACCACATAACTGAAATAATGAAAGCACATGGGCGTGGAAGTATATTGGAACATATAAAATTGCATTGAAGTAAGAGTGCTTGCTTCTCCTGAGTTAAAACACACCTTTTTGCCGATTTAAAAAATAAGAAACATGCCGTCATTGTCGATGAGTCGACTGACATTTCTACCCAAAAGCACTTGTGTTAGTACAATTTCTTAGTGATAGGAGAAATGAAATTGTAACTGAATTTCTAGGGTTAATCCCAGTTGAAGAAGCTACAGGTGAAAACCTGTTTAATCTGATTGATGAAGAAATCAAGAGATGTGACCAGAGCCATACGAATTGTGTAGGATTTTGGTCCATCAAATGGTGCATCCAACATGGCTGAATGCAATAACTCTGATCAAGAATAAAAGCTATATCTCCTTCACGTGTTCAAGTCAAGTGTGTGTGTCATTCATTGGCACTATGCATTCAGCATTCAGTATCCAAACTCCCATCAAATATTGGATTTTTACTGGCAGAAATACCAAGTTGGCTTCGCCATAGAAAGTTACGAAGAGATGCATTCAAGAAATTATTTGCAGCTATAAACACTTCTCCAGATTTTCAGCAAAGCAGAACTTCACCACTTCCATTTGAAAAGCTTTCATTCACTCGGTGGCTTGTGCGTGGGAAGGTGATGTTTATTATTCTCATTAACTAGGAAGAATTAAGAAAGATGGACTCCCTGTAGACACAGAACAATTTTGGATTGGTATGCTTCAGCATCATGCGTTTTGAGCTTGCAACCTTTACCTTTACTTGTCTGATAACACCTATCAGCAATGCTGTAATTGAAAGGGTATTTTCTCTTGTATCCTCTGTGAAAACGAAGTCAAGAAACAGAATGCAGCTAAATCTTCTTGATGCGATTGTTAGAATCAGAGCAGAGTTACTGCTTTTAGGGAAGTGTTGCAAAGACTTTTCTGCATTTCCAGAAATGCTAAAAAAACTTTTTAACAGACACGGTGTATACCAAACGTCGTTCAGTTGTGGAAGATGATGATCTAGATCTGGAGCTTTTCTTATGATTGTAATAAAACTATATTTTGCTTTTAATTTGTATTGTGTATTCTTTTTATCCTTTTTGAATATTATATCCTATTTGAATGTATCTTGGTTTTGCCCCAAAGTATTTTAAAAGTATTTTAGAACAAGCAAGCAATATGAAATTTGGTTTGGTATAGAAAAAAATACTGACTGGTTTTTCTAGTACTGTTTGGCCATAAACTGAGATTAGGAGCTGGCAACTCTGCCCTGAACACTGGGAGTTCAGTCGTGAGTTCGCGCCACGCTAGGACGGGTTGGCTATGTGGAGTTTTCCGGGTTTTCTCCACGTCTTTAAATCGCCAATTAATCTTTTATTTTTCGCGTTCGGCTATTAAAATTTTTAAAAAGTTGCCGGGCTATTATTTGCAATGTCGATACATGTGCTATTTGGAATACTTTCCTTCAGACATTTGGCGGTATTGTGTATCTGCCGGTAAAAATAACCATTGAATTTTGGCGACTCTGTTTACACGTACAGTACTTATTAGAAATATGTATTGTACACTATTTTATTATCATATACAGTATATTGGTATTCTGCAAATTATAGTACTTGTTATTACTTTATAATTATACTAGCAGATGAGCCCGAGGTTGCTCGGGAAAATAGTAACGATAACGAAGATTAACAATTAAAATAAATTATGGTTAATTAAAAAATTTTTGATAATATAAAAGCTAAGTTTAAGAAGACAAAAAAAATTCTAGTAACGAATTGCATAACTTTCCCTGCTGTTATAAAATTTTATTACAAAAATTTAATTATTTAATAATTTAAAAAAGGCAAAATGCTTAATTTTGAGGTTAGAAATGAGATTTATATATATATATAAAAATTTAAATGCTAATAACTAATAAAATCGTCATTAAGTCAGACCCCTCTGGAGATTTATGTGACTTACATCTATGTCCCCACTCTTCGATCTTTAAGTTCCTAAAACGCGTCGTGAACAAAATGGTGTACACGGAATATCAATTTCTCACCGAAATAATATATTACATGAGAGATACGGAACATTGCAGACCAACTAAAAAGCAATTTATGTGCAAGTGTTTAGTGTACAGTACAATAACAAACTGTTTATACGGAAGTGTCGTTACTTGTTATACTTTCAACACCTACTATAACAAGGTGATGGCCGGATGTTTGAGCGGTTAAGACTTCAGTCTATCGCTCTGAGATCGAATTCGGGCTGTTGAAGAACCCAGGGCGGTCTTACCTGATGTGTCAAGTATGAAATTTGATAATAAATTCTAAAGGACAAAAAACGATAGCAATACCCGGTATTTCAAGTCGTGTCCGTCCCAAGTACTGACCGGACCCGACTTCGGGAATCAGACGAGAACCGCGTGGCGTGGCCACTATCGAAAGATCGATTCTTTTATGCTCTCTTTTATACATGCCCATTCATTAGTCTTATCAAACCGGCATAAAATTAATAAATGCACACCAGCACACTTTCTCTCATTCTCTTTCTGATTCAACACTTTAATATCTGACAGCATCATCGGCATAGTTATAATTTATACAATTCCTAGCATTGCATCCAATCAAAGCCTTCGACTCTATCCAAATTCAATATCTTAAATTATGTCTGGGCCTTCCTTTCACTACCAACAACACAGTAACTCTTCGTGCAGCCAAAAGAACTACGATCGCGCTCCGCTTCAAAAAAAAAAAAAATCATTAAACATTACAGTAATTATCTCAAAAAGGCGAACTACAATTGCCTCTTCACCGAAATTTTACATTGCATTCACAACTTCACCTGCGCCATCCTGGTTAAACTCCCATTAATTTATTTCACCTGCAACTGGAGCATTCACCATATTAAACAACTACAACGACAAATCCCCTACTATCATCCGCAGCATCCATAACAAACTATACATCCATTACAGCCACGACAAGTACATACACTTAGTCTGGACTCCTTCCCAGACGAAATGTATGTTCACCAAAAATAGCGAGGTTGGATGACCGAGTGGCTAAAGTGGCATCATATCACTTTGAGGAGATCGCATCCGGACGGATAGAAATACCCGAGGAATTTTTCGGGAATTAATCCGTTCGGATATGTCGAACTCTGTCTCTAATAATGGGCTTGCTAAAAAAGAGGTCCTCTTAGTGCCCATAGGGCGGAAAGAATTAAAAAAAAAGAAAGCGTCTCTGAGGCGGGAAGGATTTAAATTAAAGTTTAAAAGAATCTACGACATCCTTATAACATACATTAACGCAATTCACAAACTTATATTTTAGTAATAAAATAATATATTATTTTGTTAAAAATAAGATTTTTTAAATAAAATATAAAATTTTATTTATTTATTTAAAATAATTTTCTAAAAATTTAAACAAGTATCTATTCGAGTAGGTGGCGCATCTCCGAATTGCATGCTCTACACACGTGGTTTTTAGTTGGGTCGTAAAATACAGCGTGCAGTAGAAAGAACTAACTGTGTTCGTAGAAAATGTCGTGGTTATTTGGAATTAAGAGAGAAACTCCAAACATAGATATACCGTCCTTTAGTGCTGGAGGGGGTGGAGATGAAAGTGGTGGTGGAAGTGGTGATAAAGAACCTCCAAAATCAGGAAAAATGGAATCGTACCGTTTTGATTCTACGGCCTTGGAAAGAGCGGCTAAGGCAGCTAGAGATTTAGAAATGTCAAGTTAGTGATTGATTTCTATATTATTAAATAATGATATATTTTTAATTAAACGTGTTTCATTCAAATAATAGCGTTGGCCATTTGCTAATGAATTATGAACGTTGATCGGTTAAAATTTGATCAGATTATGCATAAACATAAAAAGAAGATTCTGATCTTTCATATAAGGACACATAAGTATGATGATATAAACCAAGTTTTGAATTTTAGATATTAACACAAAATACTTTATTAAACATTCAAGACTAAAATCGTGGTTATGATTTAGTAATATTGAAAATTGATAATGAGTAAAATGGATCAGAGTTTTCACACATTTAGGATACAGATTTAATGATAAAATAGTCGTGTTTATAAGTCTGTTGTGATTGTATACATCAGGAATGGGCAACCTTTTCTATGTAAGGGCCACATTTCAAGACTTGAACTGATGCGGGCTGCATACGAGAGAAAAGAAATGTCAGTAAATCACAATTGTTTTTTCATATATAATTATAAATTAGCATAGGTATACTTAATTTAGCTTCTGAAACTGATGTAATATATTGGAAATATTTGGTTAAATATTAGTCACTGCTAGTTTTAAATTAGTTTCGATGTGTCTGTTAGTTGGTTTCTTATTTTAATTTTTATTAAATTCATTGCAGAAAAACAATTCACATACATAAGTTGTAGAAAATAACATTTGAATTTTTGCTGCATACTTTCTTAAGCTGGGAAATTGATATATTTATTCATATTTTATGTTGCCCATCCCTAGTATACATAAACAAACAACACTACTAAACCCAATACATACAACCATAATAGCATTGCATATGAGTCCATGCTCCATATTGGAGCATGGACTCATATGCAATGCTTGCTATCACTTGTACCTCAGCACCTGCTTGAGGCCAAGCCCCCATACCTTCCTAAAACTATATAACATCAAGTACTCCATGAACAGTCAAGTGGGCTACTCAAAGCTGGCATAGTCATGTGGCTAATTAGTTAAATGCGATAGTCTTAGTGGAGCATGTGGCATGACTTCTGATTTCAGGAGGTTGTATCTCACAAAGGGTCACTTGTAGAAGTATGGTTTCTTTGACTTTTTTGCTCCTACACATATTGTCTACAATTCTGATAAGATCCCAACTGTCTTCTTCAGAGGTGTAATTGTACTATTTTGAAAACTTGGAAGAATCGTTAGTTTCTAATTCATTATTTATTCACATACAGGATACATACGAATTTGGCAGTGCTTGGATATGATTGATGAGCTCTATCAATTTCTCTTTTTTCTGCATAAGATTAATAGCAGAATTTATCCAATTTGTTCTTGAATTAGTACAAACATTTTTTGTTTATTTTATTTTATGTTTTTTATCCCTTTTGTTTTTAGTTAGTTAATTTTAATATATTTAATATTACATTTGCTTAATGATGGAATCAAGTGATGAAAATACTGAATTTATAAATTTTAAGAGATTTTATTGGAAATAAAATGAATTTTGAAAATTATTACATGAACATTGATACTAATAAAGTTATAAGCTTATACATTTTAAGTTATTTATTGTGTTCATCATTGTCATCAACCTTTTCAATATTAAATCTAGTGATTATTATCTCTTATCTTTTACTTAATCCTCCTGATAATCTCTATCCTCTTGAAATAAAGGATTATATTCTGTGAATATGTAGTATATAGCATGTTATTGGGGTTATTTTGAGAGTTTTGCTGAGAATTCACTGTATCAAGTAGCATAAAGCTGAAGGTTTTTCCAAACATTTTGATTTCAACTAAAGTAAATTGCCATCAAAAGTCTTGTTTTCTGATGAATGATAAGTCACACTTTCTCCTACATTTGTTTTCTAATAATTAATTAGAATAAATTTCTATGTTAAAGTTAATTTTGTTTTAAAAAATCTTTGTTTTGAACAAATGAAAGGAATTCAAATTGCTTGTTAAAAAAGCCAGAAATGAGAATTTGTTAGGAATGTTTTTGGACTATTGTTCAGCCAGTTTCAATTAACTACTTCTAACTGAAGTGAAGAACATATCTATATCGTAGTAGATTATATATATCTACTAGAGTATAGGGTACAAAATTAGTTTTGAAAATGAAACGTAATATATTTAGTACAAGTTTTATTCATTTCAAGACTAAATTTGGAACAATTTACATGCATGTTTTCTAATCTATTAAATATCAATATGGATGACCGAATGGCTAAGATCATCCCTATTCNAATAATAATAATAAGTTTCAATAAAAATGATAAAATGTAAATTGAATTTTATCATAACAAGTTTGCTTGAATTTCCTTTCTTCTGAGATTGCAGCAATGCGCGACGGGTAAGCTAGTTTCACATAAAATTCTGTTCTATTCTAATAGTGATGAATTTTAATTTTGGATTTATTCTGATATATATATTCTATGCTACATTATTTTAAGCTGTTAAATTCAAGATTTTAAGCTGATGATGGACAGATCCTGATCAAAAACATCTCTTATTTAATAAATGCTGGCTTCCTGAAACAAGCAATAATTTCTTTATTTAAAAGGATGGTTCCAAGTTTCATAACTTTTCATAATCATTATTTATGTATGAAAATCAAATATAATGTCTCTATACAAGTAAATGATGAGTTTATTTCAGACATTGCATCACTTACTCATTAGATGATGCAATATCTGTTTTCTTTAAATGTAACAGTTAAGTGAATCATTCAAATGTTATTAGGTAAAAGTATAAAATACTAAAATTTTGTTAGACAGTAATATACTGTATGTGATCTTAAAAAAATTAAAACTTATTTGAAATTAGAGACTTAGCCAACCAATCAGACCAATTGGTTGGCTAAGGCAATAAAAATGTTAACCTGTCATTCTGGAGACACAGGGTTAGAGTTCAGTGAGGTAAAAGAATTTCTGAATGGTTCTTAGCCAGATGGTAGTAACCAATCTATCATCTAGGAAACTCCATTCAGAAACTGTTGTATCTAAATTGCAAAGTTGCCTTATTGAAAAATGGTTCTGGGGATAGCATAAGTTGTGGCATGTTAAAAAAACTTGCTCCAGCCACTGGTCTATCACCTGATCCTTTGTTAATGTGCATCTATTTTGCCATTCTGTGCATGTACTGGTAACTGCAGTACCAAGGTATGGTATTTCTCACAAATAGCCACAAATGTAAAATACACACTGACTTCAAGTCTGATACAAATCCAATGCAATTTATAAATTTTTCCTTTGTTAAACCTATAAGCTGGACACCTTATATTAAAACACATTTCATAACCAGTGTTGTAAATGACTTGTTCTTTATTAAAAAAATGTAAACCAGTCTTTATGAAATTACGCATTTTTGATATGGAGTAAAATTATTTTTATGTCTATAACAATCTTCCAAAATATCTGCAAATCTTATGCCATTATCAGGCTAGATAAGACAAATATTGAAAACTTCTATTTTTAAAAATGGAAGTTTAACTTAACTCCAAATCCAAATGAATGCCTATCAACAAAAGCATTTTATATATAGATCTTTAGGTAAAATAAGAACTAATTAAAGAAATATTGTTTAAATTCAATAATATATAATTCATTTTTGTAAAAATTAAAATTATATTTGATTACTTTGACATTACAGAACATTCTAGAGAAGCCTTAGAGTTATCAAAAATGCAAGAAACAACACAACAGTTAGAACATCAAAGAAAAATAAAAGAATATGAAGCACACATTGAACAGACCAAAACAGAACAAATTAAAGTTCAGCAAGAAGAGCGTCGTAAAACTCTAGTCGAAGAAACTAAACAACATCAACAGGTATTAAATACTTTTGTTAACTAAACACACTCAAGAAAACCTTTAAATAAGCAGCCGTATTTATTAAATTCTAACGTTTTTGGTCATATTTAATGACCTTTATCAAGAATAAATGAAAAAAACAGAAAAAATCAAACTCCGAACTCTGAGAAAATTTGAATTACTGATACAAGCGTTTTTTTTTGTATCGGTAATTTGTAATTAAAAAAAAATAAAATAAAAATCGCTTGTATCGGTAATTCAAATTTTCTCAGAGTTCAGAGTTCGATTTTTTTCTGTTTTTTTTCCGTTTATTCTTGATAAAGGTCATTAAATATGACTGAAAACGTTAGAATTTAATAAATACAGCTGCTTATTTAAAGGTTTTCTTGAGTGTGTTTAATTATTAAGAAATGCAGTCTACGATGAGTTATACTTTTGTTATATTATTATTTTAAAAAGTTTACGTTACACTTAACATCGACGAAGATTCAACGCGAAGCGACACGTAACGGAGAAAAATGTCAAGATGGGATAAATTAATATATTTTTTTCGTGCATAATGGATTATCCGAAATATCGATCTTCCGAACAACCCCAGTCCCCAATTGATTCGGATAATCGACGCTCTNTGTATGTAAATACCTACATGTTGTATTAGTAAAATTATTCATTTTATTATATTTATTATTCTAAAATGGCCTGTTTAAGAAGTTGTACAGATACAGTCTATAGAACATGTAGTAATGATATTAATAACAAGTAGTGAGAGAAAGTGCCTTAGTAGGCAAAACCTTGGCCATGTGTGGCCAGGTATGTCCATGTGTTAATATATGCCTGATTGTGAATCCATTTTACTACAATTATATGTAAAATAAAGTTAATATGTATGTATTTAAATATTAAGTATATTTATTATTTTAAGAGTATAAACTTGCTTGATATTGATTCTAAGTGTAAAGCAATTGAGGATTTTCTCATATCCTTTGAAGAACTCTTGAAAATTTTTTATTCATTTTCACTTTGGAAACACCTAGAAAGTTTATTGTATATATTGTACTTGATTTACTTTCTAATCAATTAATAGGCATTCTTAATGTACAAAGTTCTATAATAACTTCAAGTAATGAAGTGCAAATTTCATTACTTGGGATGTTATAGAAATTTGCAATTCAAATGATAATGTGTTAATAGAAGAACAGAGAACATTTTTTTTGATGTTTCTGAGATGAAAGTGAGTAAAGGAGATTGAATTTATACAGATTTGTTTTAAATTTTTACTAATATTAGAAAAATTGTCTTTTGAAGATTTTATCTTAATTAATTCTAATTATTAAAATAACTAAATAAAATTTTGAATTGAAAGTTTCTCTCCTGTAAGTAATTTTGAAGAAATCTGGTGACTTGACTATATTTAAACCTTAAGAAAACCTTTAAATAAAATAAATAAACCATAAATTTACTTTAATATCCAGCAAAGAGCAAATGAAGAAAATTTACGAAAACAAGAAGAGTCGGTTGCAAAACAAGAGGCATTGAGGAAAGGTTAGTTTTGAAATTTTTTAAAACAAGTTTTCAGTTGTTTTATAAACAAAAATATTATATTTAAATATAATAACTCTCAATTCTTCAAATTTTAGAAATATTTTAAAAAAAAGATTGATATATTTATAATATTTATTGATGATAAATTAATTGAATTAAAAATTCTGTGCCATTTATTTATTAATATATTTAATATTACATTTGCTTAATGATGGAATCAAGTGATGAAAATACTGAATTTATAAATTTTAAGAGATTTTATTGGAAATAAAATGAATTTTGAAAATTATTACATGAACATTGATACTAATAAAGTTATAAGCTTATACATTTTAAGTTATTTATTGTGTTCATCATTGTCATCAACCTTTTCAATATTAAATCTAGTGATTATTATCTCTTATCTTTTACTTAATCCTCCTGATAATCTCTATCCTCTTGAAATAAAGGATTATATTCTGTGAATATGTAGTATATAGCATGTTATTGGGGTTATTTTGAGAGTTTTGCTGAGAATTCACTGTATCAAGTAGCATAAAGCTGAAGGTTTTTCCAAACATTTTGATTTCAACTAAAGTAAATTGCCATCAAAAGTCTTGTTTTCTGATGAATGATAAGTCACACTTTCTCCTACATTTGTTTTCTAATAATTAATTAGAATAAATTTCTATGTTAAAGTTAATTTTGTTTTAAAAAATCTTTGTTTTGAACAAATGAAAGGAATTCAAATTGCTTGTTAAAAAAGCCAGAAATGAGAATTTGTTAGGAATGTTTTTGGACTATTGTTCAGCCAGTTTCAATTAACTACTTCTAACTGAAGTGAAGAACATATCTATATCGTAGTAGATTATATATATCTACTAGAGTATAGGGTACAAAATTAGTTTTGAAAATGAAACGTAATATATTTAGTACAAGTTTTATTCATTTCAAGACTAAATTTGGAACAATTTACATGCATGTTTTCTAATCTATTAAATATCAATATGGATGACCGAATGGCTAAGATCATCCCTATTCTGGATGGCCTGAGATTGAATCTGGATTATAAAATCTCCAGGAATTTCTTGGGGTGGTCTGTCCAGATATGTTGGGCCCCATTCCTCACCATCTAGCCACCCCATTGTAAGATTGGTCAAACCCATAATGGACTTGCTGAAAAGACTCTTAGTGCCCACATGGTAGAAAGGGATAATCTAAATATATAAAATTACTTGTCCTGACTGACTAAGTGATTGATTCATTATTGCCCAGAGCAGACCACTGAACATAAAGAGGTGAAATTTGGTACACAGTTAGGGTACGTCCTGGAAACACACACTAAGAAGGGATTTTTCAAAATTCCCCCGCGGGGGAGAGGGACAGCATTAAGTCTTAACCGGAAGAATGGCTTCTACTGTACTATTTTAGATGCAGTTTTTTGTTTTCAATGTTTAATCTTCATTAAGTACTTAGATGTATTAAATTGATAATATTTCAGACATTGTTATAAATATTTTTATATATTTTGATTTTTTAACCAAATCTTCGAACCATTTTAAATTTGAATTTGTTATTGCTTATTGGTTTGATTATAGAACGATTGTAAATGTTCCAGAAAATTTATCAAATTGAAAACACTTCATTTGATTCTCGGCAATTCTCATCATTCTCAGTGGTAGGTGTTATATAACAATTACTATGGTTGTTAAAATAATGAATATAAATGGGGTTTGCTTGCAAAACCTCAGCGGGTGAAGTTGCGGGTTACAGCTAGTATATACATATATATACATATATACATAGGGATAATATATACATATATTATCCCTTTCTACCCTTTGGGCACTAACAATATGACTTGCATATATGCTAGGTGTGTAGGATATATTGTTATAAATTTAAGTAAGTTTTTAAAATAATGTGATTTAATATGTTAAATCTAACAAGCTGAAGATATGAAATTTGAAAACAAAAAATCTGTTTTTATGTAGCTACTTTGGAACATGAACTTGAAACTCGTAATAAATATGACATGAAGAAAATTGAAGCAGAAATGAAAGCCAAAGCTAAGGTTGATAGAGAGAACCAAGATTTATATTTAGAACAGATTCGGTTGAAAGCTGCTGAGAATCGTACAACAGTATTAGAATCTATCAAGTAAGAATTTAAATATTTTTAAGTTTATTTTTTGTAATTATATACATACATACACACACAATTTGACTTGAAAATAGTCTGGTCATACAGAAAAATTTGAATTATAATTTTGTGTATTGATTTTAAAAGCCATCTGTTTTTGTCAAAGTTTTTGTTTGTACAAAACAGTTTAATAGAGAGTTTGAGGCGCACGTTTTAAACGTGTAAACGTGTACGTGTGACGTTCGGCGCCGCTTTCCCGTAAGCCTAAAAGTGTGACGATGGTGTTTGGAATGTCGAGCGTGATTCCACCGACTATCCAAACACCATTGTCAAACTTTTAGGCTTACGGGAAAGCGGCGCCGAATGTCACACGTACACGTTTACACGTTTAAAACGTGCGCCTCAACCTCTCTAATATAATGAGTTAATGTTCTGTTTAACTCTTTTTGGACTGAAAGGATTAGAAATCAGTTTCACCCATAATGTTGATTGGTACATTTCTGATTAAGTGTTATTCAACAGTTCATCTATGTAGGAAATTATTTGCTTTAAAGGAGTTTAAAAAACATAATAAAACACTAGAACTTGTGTTTTGTAAGTTCTTTGCGTTTTTGATCCTTTCAGCATTCTTTCATTGGGAATGTTTAAAGGAGAGCATTTGATGAGCTTTTAAATATTCCTAATGGATCCATTAGTTCTGTTTTGTTTTTTAAACTTTAAAGTAAGGCAAATATTTTTCTCTTTTTTTAAATTTTTGGAATCTTTTTAAGTAGTTCATCTATACAGTAGTCCTGAGCTTGAATAACTTCACTTTAGGCTATGGTTTGAAATTTTAATGTGGACACTCCTTTTCCAATTCTGCCTTCCATCACAAAAAATAGAACTTGCATCCCCAAAAAAGCCTTTTGTTCTTGACTGAATAAATAATCATCTGACTCATATCCAAAGTAGTTGTTTTTAAATATGGGTTGGGTAATAATTGTTTGATCTTGGATTGTAGGTTTTTTGCTTGATATGTTTGGGCCTCTGTTGGCTCCAAGCTTGGTTTGGCTGAACCACTTTGTACCATTCTAATTTTTCCACTGGGTATCCAAACTTTTTTAGTCAGAGGATTGAATCTGGATAGTAAAAAAATTCCAGAAATTTTTTGTGGGTAGTCCATACCATTTATGTTAGCCCCATTTTGCATCATTCAATCATTTCCTTTGTGGATCTGGCTGAAACTATGACAGTTATGGAAAAAAGGGGTCTCTTAAGAGCAAAGTGCACATAGAGGAGAAAAAATTACATCAAAGTATTATGTTTTTTTGAATTATAATTTTTAACTCAGAGTAATAATAAATTTATAACTGCAAAATTATTATAAATAATACAAAGGTTATCATTAAAAAGTTTATTTTTTAATTACAGGACTGCAGGGTCAGTTTTAGGTTCTGGTTTTCAAGCATTTATTGCAGATTGGGAAAGAGTATCTGCAACTGTAAGAATACTTTTAGTTTAAAAAAAAATATAATAAAATAAAAAAATTTATTTAAAGAATACATATTTTATTGTAAATTATTTTTACCATCTTAATAATTGAATTAGTTTTGTTTGTAGGTAGCTGGTTTAACTTTACTCGCTCTTGGTGTGTATACAGCAAAAAGAGGAACAGGTGTAGCTGCCAGATTTATAGAAGCCAGATTGGGAAAACCTGCTCTGGTGAGAGAGACTTCCCGCATAACACTTATCGATGCAATTAAGCATCCTGTGTCAACTGCTCAAAGAATTCTTAGTAAACCTACAGATGCTCTGAAAGGAGTTGTTTTAAAGGTATTAACTGAATTATGACATGAAGTAATATAAGAGTTTATTTCATATAACTAGGCCATGTAAAATTAAATATATATCATATTTTAAGTAATTGTTACCTTTATTTATTTAAAATTGTGAAATTTTATGTAATAAATATTTGAGATGATAATCAATACCAATCTGATACTGATGTATTGGCATATTGGAATGTTGGCCAAATGATTACTGGGTTATATTGGGTTATATTACCTACTATTATTAATAATTAAATGCTAAGTAATTTGGCACTAGAGGTAGGTGTTAGGTGCCATCTCTTGCTAAATTTAATTATTTTAATTAAATTAATATTTTAATAATTAATTTAGAAGGTTCTGAAAGAAAAGAATCTGTCCAAAGAGGGACTGAAACTGCAACTTCAGCTTACTGCACAGCAAGCAGTTTAACCAGTTGCTGGAGTTGATAGGCTGCTGCTGCACATGTGGTTGTTTTAAAGATTTTAAAGAAATCCTCCTGAAATGTACATCCTCCCTGAACCTGCATATTTTAAACTGCTTTAGGTAGAACATTAGAAGCATATCACCAGATTTGTATTTTTGTGTGAAGCCAAGACAGAAAAACCTATATGACAGAACTCAGTTTTGTTTTCCTAGAAAATACCTAGTACACAGTGTATGTACTGTATATTTAAAATGTAATGAGATAGGCTTTTTCAAAATGTTGTTAATAATAAGATACCATGTTTCTATTCTGATTGATAAAGCACTGTTGTTTTTACATTTAAATTCATACTATTGAATGTGCAACCAATGTTCCTATGAGATTTTTTTCTTCCAAATACACCATAGAATTGGGCATGTGAGTGAGTGTTACTGATTAATAAGGGAAGCAATGGTTCAATGATGTTTATTGTTGTGTTTAAAGATGTCATAGTTAGCTAAAAAAAAAACTAACTATATATTATATATGATAAGAGACACAGTAAAAACATTAGAAATAAACATTACTCTTCCAAAGCAGAAAGAGCATATAATGATAATTGCTAATACACTGCCTAACAGACATTCTGCATATTAATAGTCACAGTCTAATATTCACATATGTTGTAATTCCAATCTAACTTTGTAGATGGCCAGATGGCTGAGCAGTCAAGGTGGCAGTCTAGTGCTCTGGGGAACCTAAAATATCTGGACAGGTAGAAGAAATTTCCCAGGAATTTTTCCAGTGGTGATACATCTGTATATGGTGGGCCCTGTCCCTCACCACCCAGCTGCCCTATTCTGGGCCTGGTTTTTTTTAGCAAGCCCAAAATGAGCTTGTTAAAAATAGGTCCTGTTAGTGACCACAGGATGGAAAGAGTTAAAATCCAACTTTGTGGAACAAGCAATTTCTGAAATAATTTGTTAAATTGAAGGTCAACAGAATAAAACCTGTCTGTCAGCCTGAAACAAATATCATGTTTATTTCTCATACTAAATTTATTTACTTATCTCATTTATTTCTGTATTTATTATTACAAACAAATCTTTGATTAATAATTTTAGACTTGTTAATGTTCAAATTTATTAGAACAAGCATGATATTATTATTATTTTGGCATTCTTGTCTGTGTTTAAGGTTGTAATTCTTATCTAGTTTCTCAATACCAATATTGTTGTGGTTTTTTTTTCTTTTTTCTTAAATAATAATTGCTAAATTACAGACAATTGTTATCTTGTTATTGTTTCTTATAAAGGTTATATTTATTTATTTGTTTATTTATAAATACTATAATATATACATTAGTATATCTGTATTTTACATTATTTTAAAGTTATAAAAATGATATTTTAATAATTTTATAAACTTTGTCTTTGTATTCTTATTAAGCCATCCATAGAGGAACGACTAAGAGATATTGCTATTGCAACTAGGAACACAAAGAAAAATAAGGGAATGTATCGAAATGTATTGATGTATGGACCACCGGGTACAGGGAAAACGTTATTCGCAAAAGTCAGTAATAAACTGTCTTATTGTTGTTATATGTTTGAAGGAGTAATTTAGATAAAATTTGATATTTTACTTATTAATTTTGTATACTGTAATTTAACAGATAATTTTAATTACTTTTTATGTAAAATATTTACATTTTTCTGTTAAATAATGACAATTTTTAGCGTTTAGCAATACATTCAGGGATGGATTTTGCAGTTATGAGTGGTGGTGATGTTGCACCGATGGGACGAGAAGGAGTGACCGCAATCCACAAAATGTTTGACTGGGCTTCTAGTAGTAGACGGGGGTAAGTGTATAATAATGTAAAATTTTAAAATTATTTTTTAGACGCAGAAGTCACTGTGTTTTTATAATTTATAAATTTTTCATTAACCAAAGACAATTAAATTTTATAAAAAGATATTACTGTTAATAAAACTGATACTTTACATTTTCTAACTTGTGTTATTTTTGATTCTTTAAAAGTATTTTGGAAGAACTAAATTTGTTTGTTTTTAAAATTATTTGTATTAGAGTCTTATTTGATCAAAATTATATATGTCAATTACTAGAAGAAACTAATACAAACACTCAGAAGCTTAAAACGATAAACTTTTTTGTTGACAATGACTTGTTTTAATATTGTATCAAATTGAAAATGTGGAATAACAATTTGCTATATGGATGAATTTATTGTTATGCCATTTACATTCAAAAGGTTGAGTGCAGCAGAAGTTTTCAATTAAGTATTGATGGAAGCAAAACAAGTTAATGGCAAAATGTGAAATACTACCATACACCACCTTTACAGTATAATATTGTAGCTCTTAGGCTGAGATATTATACTGTAAATAGGCCTAACTGTAAAGGCTGAGCACAACAAGATTAGCTCACTGTTGTGCTCAGCCTTTCATTTGTACAGAAAATGTTATAATATCTATTTAAATATAGAAGAATAAAAGAAAATTTTTTCTTTTCTTTGTCTCAAAATAAAATAAAATGAACTTTGTTTCATTTTCCAAAACTGATAATATTTAAATCACTAATGTTTAAAAATCATAAGAGTAAGCTATTAAAGCAAAATTATGACTTTGAAAGCCACAAATAAATAAAAATTTCCTTTATTAGATATTTATCTTTTAATTAGTTTATTAGATAACGTTTCATACATTAAAAGTTAGTAACTTTATACATTAGCATTAGATAATTGTCTTTTGCAGTTTTTGAATTCTTTAAATGTTGTTCTTCAAGACTAAATCCTTGAAGATGTCAACATTCAAATCAACAAAAATACTTTAACTTAAATTTGTTTTATTTTCTTATATCCAGTTAAATTCCTAAAATATGGGTTATATATATGAAAAGTATGTGATGTGTACATGATTTAGGACTGAGCAGTTAGGTTGCAGCCTACTGCTCTGAGAGACTTGGGATTGAATCTGGATGGGTTGAAAAACCACATGAATTTTTCAGGTAGTGATCCAATCTGCATATGTTGGGCTTCACCACTCATCACCCATTCATTCCATTGTGGGCCTGACAAAACTCATAATGGGCTTGCTAAAAAGACACTCTCAATGTGGAAAGAGTTAAAAAAAAAGACCAATTTTCAATTGTTCCTATAAAAAATATCTATCATCATTTTATAGTAGAACTCTCATTTTATTATATTCAATGTAAGACCTCTTGGTTGCAAATCTGGTATAAATTTTCTATTATATGTGTACAAAGTGCCATATGTTTTTCTTGGTCATTTCTGTGTAATAATATATAATTCAAATTATATATTATTTTCTGGAACATTACTTAAGTTTATGACACTGAACCTATGGGAAATTAAACTTTGATTCATGAGAATTCTCCATGAACTAATTAAATGGATAGTTGTGGCATTATGGACAAGAGGTCAAACATCTAAAATTCAGATTACTTTTGGATTAGAGTTAGAGTAACAATTAACTTAATTATTAATAACAATTAATCTGTACAATTATAGAATCTAAATTAATATAGTTCTGGAAGCAACTATTGAATGGAAATTTAGGTAATACAATTACTAACATACCTGCATAGTAAATTAAAGTTACAACTTGCATCCTTCTCTCTCAGTCGCTCTTCTACAATTTTCTAAATTATTCAATTTAAGCCAAAATTAATTTCTAATTATTAATCTGTTATTATTTTGTGCAATTTGGTTTTAGCCAACTTTTATAATTTAATTAATTATTAATAAGTATAATTTTAGCCCAAAAAGCAATCCAGTTTTTAGATATATTAGGCTGTTGAGCTATAGTTATATCTATTAAAATCATGTGAACAGTAATTGTAAAATATATAACATACAGCAAACGTTACATTTAAATATTTTTTATTAAATTAATATTAAATTATACTAAATATTGCAAATTTTAATTTGGCAATACATTGAAAATGATTCTGCAATTTATTGCAAAAAATTTAATGACCATTAATTTTCTTCAGCATAAAATGATAATTTACTGAGAAAAACAAACATTTTTGATATCATTAAGATACCATCATCAGGTTAAATAAGAAGAGTTCAGTAAAAGAACATCTCAAAAATTTGAATGTTGAAGTTTGAAGAGAAGACACACCATTGTATTGGATATTAATGTTACGTTGTCATTGTATGGAAATTACCAGACCTCCTATAGATATCATCAGGCTTGCAGGCATGTGTTGCTAACCTTGTAGTTTATGGTCCTTTTTTTTTGACAAGACTATGTCTTGTTTATAAAATCATGGTGCCATCCTGGCTTACCAGCTTAGAGGTGTGAAGGAGTACTTGTCAGGAGTTGCAATTTGGCACAGAGTATTAGGTGCCCAAATGCATAAAAGATACCAGACTTGTAGGTACTCAGGACCGAGAACTGAGTCAAAATAGAATACAAAATGGCGACACTCTTTCTACAAACAGGCACTACTGCAAGATTTGCGCATTCATTGCTTGTTGGAAAGTTGGAAATGTAAACATTGTGAAATCGAATTTTGACAAATGCATGTGTTGGGAAGTTCAAAATGCAAATGTTGTGAAATTGAATTTTAACAAACAAATCTTTGAAAAACCCATTTACCTGCCCTGTGTTATTCCCGACATATCTCTGGTTGCGATATGCTGACTTTGACCAGTTGGCCTGAGATATCTCATTTCAGCATCAGAGAACATTTTTGAAACTAGATGGTGCTAGTTGTTATAATTTTATATTAAAACTAACTTCTGAAATATAATTTGTTTTCTTTTTACATTTCTTAATATATGTATATATTTTGTTTGTGCAAAATAAAAAAAATAATTTTGGATGATACAATAGCCACGATTATTTTTTTTCAAAAACGGGAAATTTCGTTAGGCATGGACAAAAATTCAGTCTGGGGTGACACACAATGGAGAGAAATTTTGACATTAGATAGGTTAATTTCACTGAAAATGCATCAGGGACAACCTCGTGGCCGTGGCCGGCAAAGTTTGAATGATTGCACTCGAAACCTGCGATACTAAAGAAGATTGGAGAATAAGAACGAGACCTGCCGTGAGTGTCGAAGTGATCCCACTTAGTAGTGAGTCTCCGAGACATAGTCTTATCCCAAATATGGCTTTGCCATTTTACTTGTTCTTATTAAAGCCATATCTCCAACTTCTCAAGGTGTATGAGATACTTGTGCTATTGGTTGAATGTGGAAGTCATGCTCTGTCTCTGTTCTTGGATCTCATGTTTTGTGATCAGGTTGCCAATGTGGTTGTGTTATACATTTTTTTTATTAATGTTAAGTGTTGTTTGAATGGGCATGGTATGGTGCCAATCTAACAAGCCTGGAGATATATATGGGACGTTCAATAATTTTAATATGATGATAATTTAACATTCACATCCAATTTGATGGTGTATCTTCTTTTTAAACTTCAACATTCAAATTTTTCCAATGTTCTTTTTCTGAATGCTTGTTATTTAACCTGATGTTGGTAGCTTAATGCTATCAAAAACATTTGCTTTTCTCAGTAAATTATTGTTTTATGCTGGAGTTTTGGTTATTTTTTTTATGATATTATCTAGTTTTTGTGCTGTTTGTTCATTAATTTTCTTTCTTTACAAATTCATAATTGGCAATAGAAAATTATAAAGTCAATTAAGAGTGTTAGGATTTTGTTCATATTTTTTTGTAAAAATAAAATCAAAACTTACTGTTAACATTTTTGTTTAATTTTTCTAGACTACTACTATTTGTTGATGAATCTGATGCATTCCTTAGAAAACGAAGTTCGGTATGTATAAATTTTAAATTATTAAAATTCAACATACTTACATTATGTAGAAAATCAGATTTGACAGATACAGATTGTTTCACATATCTTGGTCAGGCAACATGCAGTACTAAGTTGGACATTTGGATGTTTTATAAAGTTCATGGCCCCTTTTTGTTAATGTGACCTTGTCAATGATTCATTAACAATTCATTCCCTTTATTAAGTAAATAGATTTATTCTTGTTATTGTGTATTTTTTTACAGTCCAGGCAAGATTCATTAATTGTATTTTCTAATAGACCAGTTGCGGCCGACATGAGCATCGGACATTTAGAGCTGTCATCCTGTAAGCCTAGAAGTTTGACAATGGCCTTTGGGATATCAAACATGATTCCACTGATGTTCCAAATGCCATTGTCAAACTTCTAGGCTTACAGGATGGCGGCACTGAACGTCCGACGTTCATGTTTTCATGTTGAAAACTTCGGCTGCAACATCTCTAATGAAATAAAAAACCTGGATATTAAAAATACTGATTAATTAAATATCTTGTGTAGAAATTTCAATAGTATACTTTTCAAATTATCAAAATATTCTTGGTTTCTCTCTCTTTTGAATATCTTTCACAGTTGAAAAAATTATTCAAAATTCAAAGAATTTTTAGTTTTGTAGATGAAGGTATTAGCTTTCACAGCAACTGATTAGCAGGACTGTGCATAAGTATTCTTTAACCAAAAGCTTCTTCTACTGAAACTAAACTAATACTAAAAAACTGATAACGTACAATGTACTAAAATGTGATTTCAACAAATAACATTTTAATACAAATCCAAACAAGAAGCTAAATGAAAAATAAATTTGTACTGTTAAATTCTTTCCATAAAGTAGGCCAAAATGTCAATCTAAATATTGAAAAATGTGGAAAATTTTGTTGTTATAACTGAGTTTTGATATCATTATATCAAGGTAAAATGTATTAAAATATAGGCTCTAGCTCGACTGTCAATATTTTGTTGTTATAGCCAGTTATTTTTTCTAATTATAAAAGTCAAGTTTATTTTATGATATATATTCAGTTTAATAGATTTTAATTGGATTTAATTAGTAGAAAGAATTACAAGCTAATTAAATTTCAAAATTATGATTTAAATTTAAAAATGATTACAAGTAAAAATATATGGCTTATGTTTACAAGTTTCTTTACAGGAAGTAATTAGTGAAGATCTTAGATCTGCTCTTAATGCCTTTCTTTATAGAACTGGAGACCAATCACATAAGTGAGTTTATATTAAATCTTATCTAATTTTAAATGTTAAATTGTCAACCTGCTAGTTTAGAGATAAAAACATCACCACCAAAAAAGTTGGAGGAAAAAAATTATTTTACACAAAATTTACGTACATATCTACATCATATTTCAACTTAGTTGCCAGCCAAAATCAGTCAGTTGTATTGCGGAACCAGCTTTTGCAATCCATCACCAAAGAGTGGTGGTGCCAAGTTACCCAGCCAGATGCTGACTCCATTTGTGAACTCTTCATTTGTTTCAAACTGCTTGGTATATAGCCAGATCATCTTGTTGAGATGCCAAGGGAAGGAGGTGATCAGAAAGCTCCCAGTTGAACTGCTTGTATAAAAGCCTTTGTGTAAACTGCAGTGTATGGTCACAATTGTTATGGAGGAGGATAATACCCTCATTGAGCATTTCATACCATTTGTTCTGGATTGACTTACAAAGCTTTTTCAGTGTTTCACAATAAACCTCTGACTTTATTGTTTTCCCAGACATCAACAAAATTTCATTGCGATTCCAGAAGATTGTAATCATCATTTTTTGGTTTGAAAGCGATTGTTTGAATTTTTTGAGTTTGTTTGGAAAATGAATGCACAGTACATCCAATTTCAACTTTTCTTTCATCTCTGTATTCAGGACTGACTCCATTCTTTGAGTTTTGTGAATAGTTGTTTTGATATTCATCGGTCCCAAAACTTGTGGTAACCCAATCTCTCAGTGTCAATACAAAACAGAGTAGTCCTTAAAATTTGAGGAAATTCACCAGAAAATTCTGAAATTCTAACATGACATTTTTATTCATGACTTGGTCAACTTTTTCAATCAGTTCATCAATCACAATTGAGTATTTCCTTGTTCCCCACTTGTAATATATATCTATGTGCCTATCACCATAGATATGACAAGCAGTGCGGAACCTTGGCAATGCTGTGTTCTTTTTGCAGAAAACATAGCACAACACAAACCTCACAGCTGGTTGAAGTGGCAATGATAGGGTCCATGCTTACTCAATAGCTGCTCATGCACAAATGAAGAAAAAAATGGATGATGATAGTATTTAGGGATATAAACCTTTACTAATTCTATATGTAATGAGGCATTTTGCTACAACAACCAGTTTATTTTTACCAGTCAATTGGAGGTTGATTTTGGAATAGCCCTCATCTATTAATGTTTGGAGGAATACATTCTATGAATGCATAAATAGTTGCTGATGTAACAATTTTTTATAGAAACATCATAGAAGCCGGAACTTTACATACTAACTAATTTACACTTACCACAACTTCCAGCATATTGAGTTTTCAACCACAAACATTTTTTGCTTCATTCAAAGGCTCTTTTCAGGTGAAATAACAAGACAGAATTACAATTGCACTGAGCATCTATATGTTTTAAATCATTTGAATATCCTGGTCTACTATAACACCACAAATACCTTTAATTAAAAATCCAAAAAACAATTTATTTGAACAATGAAAAATATATACGTTGATAAATATTTTAATTTGCAAATACACAATCTTATTGTTTGTGAATTTTCACATATTTTATTAATTTTCTTTCTTGTATATCTTACTAATATAAATTATATTAATGTAAATATCATTATTTTTATAATACAGTAATACACTTTATTTGAGTTACAAAAATTTAAAGCTTATTATATATCTTGTTCTTTTAAGCATTCCATAGTTAGAACATATTTTACCTGAAGAAGATCCAATTGGGATCAAAAACATTTATCAGTGTATAGATTTCTCATTGTTCAATTAAGTATTTTACTGGATTTTTGAAGGTATTTGTAGTGTTATAATGATAACAGATATCCAATTTTAAGAAGCTACTATATCTTGTTCTAGTCATTCTAAAACTTGCAAAAAGTTTGAATCATGCAGCCAATAATGATTCAAATAATTTTCAAGATATTTCAAGATCTATTTTTGAAAAAATTTCCAGATGTTGATCATACATTTGGCTAGCCTTGTGTCCATTTTTTACAGCAATCTCCTTAATATGATCCAATTACATTTGTCTGTCTTTCAGATGAGAATGGTGTGTGTATGCTCTATGTATGAGTGCATTGAAGGCTGCAATGTTATATCTTCAGTGATCACATGAGAGCTGGAATAAGAGCAGCGTAATGTGTGGACTTACAGAAGACTTTTGTGACTATGCATTTGTTTGTAAGTTTTAAATCAAGATCTAAGAAATGGACACTTGTGTTACTGGACTGGTCTAATGCCAGGGTTAGATCACAGTTGTTATTAAATTTCTGCAGGAAACATTCTATATCTGGCTTGGTTTTCCATATGATAAAGATGTTAGTGACATAGTGCATTCCTTGCAGACACACTAAGGTGACATATATCAACACTTGGCAACTTATTGACTATTTATTCAACTGAATAAATAGTCAATAAGTTGCCAAGTGTTGATATATATCACCTTAGTGTGTCTGCAAAGAATCAGCTTAATAACAACAACACGGTTTCATCAGAATCAAAAGACATAGTGCATGTTAGTTCTTATGCACTGAAGGAACTTGTCAAGAAACCTTTGTTCAACTGTCCAAAACCTAGCTTATATAGATCTGCAAATATGGGTTTCCTCATTTCTGTACATATGTACAATCATTAGAAGCAAAGAACGATGAATGGCATGATATGCACTAAGTTTAGGAGCTGTTGGTGGTGTGTATTTATGTCTTGTATGCTGGAGGAAAGAACTTCTATAAAGCTTAAAGCACAAAAAAAAGCAGGGTTCTTTTCTCCAACCCTGACAGTGCTGCCCATTGGAACACCTCTCTTTTTGCAGGTAAGTCTTACCATTGAACTTAAAAAATGAGGTATAACACAGGAGGTGGAGTAGATCAGGGATTTTCTGGAGATTGATCTTGGTGATGGAATTATTTTAGTGCACAAAGCGTGGCTCCAGGATTTTTTGCCAACAGCTTTGTGTGTATAGAATTGCCTTAGATACATCTATAGTAAGCTGGGACAATATCAACCTATCTCAGGCCCTAAAACAACTGCTGAAATCTGGCACTATGTTTGTACTGCATACAATGCCTGTAGAACCTGAAACTGGAAAGAGAAATGCTAACTAGTTTTAAAGATGAACACAAGGAATTCTTCAGATGATCAATGCTCTTGAATACCATAACAAACATGATATAGAAGACAACAAAGATATGTGGAGAAGCATCAAAAACAATGGGCAATGATTATGATAACCAAGTTACATTCCTCAAAACAGATAAAAACAGAGTGATTGTGCTATTAGAAAGGTCTACCTACATCTCAAAACTGCAGGAGCATATTTTATCCACAGAATGCCAAGACATTGACTATATGAATAGCCAGCAAAATAAGGTGGTGAAATTAACATACACAAGCCTAACAGGAATTTCTGAGTCTGGATCACTTTTTAGGAGACATCCTATTTATCCAATTAAAAATGCTAAATAAAAATTGATATAAAAATTAAATTAATCATTACTATGATGAAATATTATATAATATCATTCACTTTTTTACATTTTACAATTACCAAGTGACAGGAAACCTACAACTGTTAGTTAATGCATCTGCATGATAGCAGAAGTTGTGAGTTCCAGTCCCACTCTGGATCATCTTCCAGAATAGTTTAATTAATTAAATTTAATATCTTTGAACTTGCAAGTGTTTATCATATGTAAACTGATATTGAACATGATGAGGAATAGTCCTTTTCCAGTCTAAAGACGGATTAAAGGAAATCTTCATTCAAGCTGAAAGCACAGCACTACTTGTCAATTACAGATTAAAGATCAAATCTAAGTATCAAATTTAATTCAACTTGTCAACATAATCTTTAGTCTGAATTACATAATATAAGTATCTGTAATTTAATTAATTAGCAAAGTTCTGGATTGATTAGTTCATTTGGTTATTAATATAATTCTATATGTAAGTGTAAATTATTTTTACAATTTGATTATTATACAGGAACTTTTAATTTACTTATAAAGAAGATAATTTTTTTCCATAGATTTATGTTAGTTTTAGCTAGTAATATACCAGAACAGTTTGATTGGGCAATCAATGACAGAATTGATGAAATGGTAGAATTTGAATTGCCAGGCAGAGACGAAAGAGAAAGAATGGTGCGTCTCTACTTTGACAAGTATGTGCTCCAACCAGCAGCTGAAGGAAAAAGGTGAGTCAATCATAAAAATATAATCTTTATGAATGAATTCCAAATTAACTTTTCTTTTTATTAACCTTTTTGAGATTTCAATCATATGTTGATGATTTTGACTGTTTAATTATGGAAAAATTCAATGTCAGCGTAATTAATTAAATGATGGCAAATATCAAGTGAGGGCATCTAATACCTATCACTAGGCTAAATTACTTGACATTTAATTATTAAATAGTAACCATGTTATAGCTTAATGTAATCAAACAGTTTGGAATTAATCTAAAAATTGCGACAATGAAAGTTGATATTTGAAACCAGGAAATTATAGTAAAGAAATTTAATCTTTATGTAAAATCAAAATAATTACATTTGCTTTTTAAAGCAAATGTTTATAACTAGTTTTTTTTTTTTTTTGTAGTGAATAGCTTGCTTTATATAAATTGTTTCTTATTAAATTTAGTTTTATGTAATTTAAGGCTGATTGTAACATCTTTGGTTATTTATATTATCTTCTGCAGATAGTGTTAAAAATGCAATACTTTTTCTATGGAAAAATCTTTTTCCTAAAGTTCTTGAAAATCGAAACAGAAAAAATCAAACAGTTTTTTTGCTTTAAAAACCTATTTAATTCTTCTATTAATGTATGGTTCAGAATTTTGAAAATCACTAGTCACAGAAAACAAAACCAGAAGAAATTTTCAAACTTTCAAAATAACTAAAAGTATTTACGTGATTAATTAGACAGAATCTACTAAGATTTATAGTCAAAATTAAGTATTTTAATATCAATAGTTACATAATACTGAAAATGCAACTTTACTGGTAAATCCAAAGAGGTCCAGAATAAGAGATTTCAAACTGTCTTTTTGTATCACTGCCTAACTGTCACTATGATGAATTCTATTGAGAATAATGAAATTCAAATTATAATCAGGGTCAATTAACACTTTTTAATCAAAAGTAGAATTAATACCTTTCTATATATGATATAAACTAAGAATTTTAAATACACTTCTAAACTGTTGTGATCCAGATTTGTCTACTTTTGATGAAAAAACTAGTGGACGGTCTATCGTCACAAATGCTTTTTAAACATTTGATATATGTGAATATATTTCACACATCATCTACAATATCTCCAAATATCCCCAGAAGTATGTAAGGTCGCCGACTTTAGGGGGCAATACGTTAATTGCGCGTCAGGAAAACCTAGGGTCAAACCGTACGTGGGTGGTGGCGGCAGGAGACAAAGATGACAAGTGTCTTACATGAAAACTGTTTATTTTGACATCAGGTTAACTTACATAACAGTAATAACACAGAAAATTTGATCTAGATCTTTCCGCTGGGGAGCTCCCGATGTCGGTGGATGGGTGAAGGCTGGGGTGGCGTATCCCGGGTCCTTGATAGATGAGTGTCCGTTGTACAGGAGGTGACTCTGACAGGTGATGCTGTGGATGGACGGAGATCTTGGCCCACTGGTGGAAATACTGGTCCAGAGGAGAACTGCAGAGAATCGGCTCGGAGAGAAGCAGCTGAGAATCTCTGCTTTGTCCTTGAGATTTTCCCCAAATCTCACCCTTCTGATTAGTCCCTTTTGTCCTCTCCCTTACCCCAATTGGTCATTCTTTTGTTTCTAGGCGAAACTTGAGACTGATCTGGGTCGGGAAAAGGTCGGAGAGGTGATGACGGGGCTTTTAATGTTTGCGCTCGTATTTTTCTCCGTTATGGCCCTTCTCTTGGACATCTTTGAACTTAAACAGTCCACCAGATGTTCTTGTGGCCATTTATTCCCTACCGCGTTCGGACTTAACAGATGTCCCTTTTGTTCTTAGACCCCCCTTTTTTCTCGATTGCTTCGACCCGACACTTGTTTATGAGCATCTCGACAAAGCTCTTTCTCTCTGTTGACATTCCCCCCTGTTGTTTATCATTGCATCGTGTTTGTTTTACAATTTGAAAAAGTGTTCGTCCCATCTGGGTTCTGTCATTAACACACCCTCTTGACCCGTTTCTATCTTCGAAACCCTCCGATGTAAAAGTTTGTAATTAGTCGCAATTTCGACGTGCTTTTACGACCCTCACAAGTACATGTACAGTATCTTACTTTGAAAACTTATTCTAGAGAAGTCTAAATATATTTTTTTCAATGAAGTCAGTTTTTAAAACTATATATTATTTTGACAACATAAAAAGTAGCCATTTATTAAATTTGAATAGATGTTAGATTTTATGTCTAAATAACAACAACAACAAAAAACAAAAACTGTCTACAAAGGGATATAGTTTTTTTTAACAAAAATGTGTAGCAAAGTAATTTTTGTTATTTTTTTTTCTATAGAAGGCTAAAAGTTGACAAATTTGACTACGGCAAGTTGTGCTCTGACATTGCAGAATTGACGGATGGATTGTCTGGCAGAGAAATAGCCAAATTGGGAGTGACTTGGCAGGTAACTTGAACAATATTTTTTAACTATCAGTAAATAGCAAATTTGATTGTCATAGATAATTTGGTGATTATATATTACAGATGAGTAGAGTATATATATAGCATATGTATTCATGTATCATTAGATTTTTAAATTTTGATCATCTTATTGATTCTAGACTCATTTAAATTCAGTAGAATGTGCGTGAAAATAGAAGCAAATATGGTTGAATTTGTGAGCAGAACTAATCCTTTTTACCTTGTGTAGATAATAAATACAACAAATGAATCATACTCTATCAAATATTTTATACTAAATGAATCACAACACATATGTTATGCATTGTGATTCATTCAGTATGAAAGCTTACATTCAAATTTCTCTAATTCAAAAGATTTTGGATTTATAAGTAAAGCAAAAAATACTGATTTTTAATACAAATTGAATCTTTATAGCAAAAAGTTATCACAAAGCAATAACGATCTTTTAACTTGTCCTACATTATTCCTGAAAATATTCGTGCTGATTTCATTGACCTGCGTGGGTGATCCCAAATATTTTCGTGTTTACATTGGAACGTTTTTGATACTAGATGTCGCTATGCGTCACAATTTTTATATTAAAACAAACTTTTAAAATATAATTTTTTTTGTTTCTATATTATTCAATATATTCATTTTGTTTGTGAAACATAAAAAAATAATTTTTTACGATACTGTAAACATGATTATTATTTTAAAAAAAAAAAATTTAGGCTTAACATTGACAAAAATTCAACATGGCATCACAGGCAACAAATAAAAATTTCAACATCGAATAGGTTAATGTAGTGTTTTTCAACCTTCTTGAATACGCGACTGCTTTGCAAGTTAAAACTTCTGGCGACCCCCCAGGGCCATATTAAAACTATATCGGCGATTTTAAAAACTACATATTTAATTTTCTTTCTGTTGAGACCTAAATATTGATCGAAAAACCAATTACAGGTAATACGGGGGTATAACACGGTAGTTACGTTCCAAAAAATTGCCATGTTATACGAATCTGTGTTATATGAAACAAAGAACTAGTACGAAAAGGAAGGTTAAGTTCCAAAAATTAAAAAACATGCTATTATATTTTCATAATTAAGATAAATATCTTTATTAAAATTTTCTTAAGTAATACATATTAATATAAATTAAACAATGTTCTCTTCATCATCACTAAAAGTACTATTAACCGAGAGCGTTTTCTTTTTGGCAAGTTATCCTTATCCTCTGAGCATTTTTCTGCATTATCTTCAGATCCATGCTTGACCTTTTGCAAAAAGTATGTAATTTTAGATTGCTTGCTTCTAGTTAAAAGATCTTTATAAATTTCCTTATATGGTTATAAGCACTTATGAAGAATAAAGCAAGTATGGAATAAGGGAAAAACATCTGGCAACATCAGAAGCAGAAGCATTGAGATCTGGCAACATTGAAACAAGTTTCGAGAAGGACCACGTGTATCGACAGAAGGCGAGAAAAGAAAATTTACATACTGAAGTACTAATAGTTCACGAAAATAATAATTTTCGTGAACTATTATTACTTAAGTATGTAAAAATTTATTACATTTCATGTTGTACGAGGATTTACCCAATTCTTGAACCGTGTCAGAGTGAATCCATGCTATAACAATACCATGTTATATGGGAATGGTACCAATTCTCGAACCGTATTAGAGTGAATCCGTGCTATAGAAGTGCCGTGTTATACGGGGGTTACCTGTATACTGTAAAATAAACAGGTATAGCCTTCTCACTGAAATTGTAGTTTTTTTTTTTTTCATTGTAGTACAGGACCTACAAACACTTGTCTTTTTCTTTTACTCACAACCCAGATTGAAAAACACTGGGTTAATGAAACACTTGAAGAAATGCAGACAGTTTGAAAGCATTGAGCTTGAAATCAAGCAAGTAAATCACACTAGACAAGTGTATAAAAATCTGTTTTTCTCACTGAAAATGTATAAGTAGTTTCACTTAGAAAAATGCATTTGCAGTCTAGTGGAAAATATAATGTTTTGCCTCCTTCCTCTTGTGTTAAGGTTGTAGTAAATACTATGTCTAGATTCAGCAAAAATTTCAAACTTGGTAAAAAATACATTCACATTTTCTTGTTTCAGATAAGCTTTTGGTTAAAAGGTTTCATTTTATAATTAATATTTTACTTACACATAAAATTGCTTTTAAATTAATTAATAACTAAAATTTATATTTAACAGCCTTGGCATTAACAAACAATGAAAGCTATTAGATTTTTATTTCATTAATATTTATCCTAAATGCATTTTGAAAGTAAAGAACTGAGTTTGTCCAAAAATCTCAAATAATTTACAAATGGAAGATTTAAACATCATCTACTTAGGATTTTTAATAATAAGTTTATTAAAACTCTTGTGTACAAACTGATATTATATGAATACTTAATAAGTTTTAAGTATTCGTTTACAGTCGACCCCCTATAACACTGTTGATTATTCTGTTTTATATGAATTCCATGTTGTACGAGTCACTTAGATTTTACAAATACATGAGCTGTTCACAGCCCGGCACTTATTTGTAAAATCTAAGTGACTCGTACAAGATGGAATTCATATAAAACGGAATAATCAACAGTGTTATAGGGGGTCGACTGTAATATCAGTTTGTACACAGGTTACTGTTAAATCAGTTTTGTTTAAGTGATTTTAATAATATAAATTCTATGAATAGAAAGAGAAAATAAACAAGAAGTTAAGAAATTGCACTGCATTTTCCATTGATGACAGTTTTTAAAATTAATTTAAGAATACTTTGATAATATAGTAACAAAATCTAGATACTTATTTGACAAAAAATTCATTTATATAGTTTTTTGTTTAGAGTATTTATTCAGATATACATCCTAGTACCTTCCTGAGATAACATTGCAAACTTTACAGTCATACTTACCAACCACCATATACTTCTCTGCATTTGTTTGGCTCATTTATATCTCTGATTCCAATACCACCAGTTGTATTACAGTCAGTGTTTATGCTTATTCAGAAATATTCTTTCATTGAAAATGAAAATTACCTTATGATTATTTAAAATAAACAAATTGGTTTGAGTGATACTTCTGCTGACAGATTAATCATACTTCATTAATATATCTCAATTAATAGTAGAGGAAAAGGTGGTAGTATGGAATACTGCGGATATTATAGAACCACCCCATTTCGAACTGATAATAAAGGCAAACTGTAGCGGATTGTGGCTGAACTAGGCAGACATCCATGGAAAGGGGAAAACCCGTTTTACTTCAGTTAAACGGTTGTTTAATTCATTTTTTTCAAAATTCACAAGTTTTGAATGCTAAGTGAATTTAATTATTTTTAAAATATAAATCATGTAGTTGTAGGTTCACTGGTGCATGTATTCCGTTCCAGAGACTTAGGGGTACATATTAATCTGTGTGATGTTCATGCTTTTTAAATTTTGGTCTTGACAGACATAAGTTAATTCAAGATGGCGATGCGTGAAATACGGACCCCATTGGTGCTTTTACAGTAATATGGAACTCGACTCCTCCGAACTCTCTCTTTGCAAGCAGACATTCGTCTGGAGCAATTTGTGAAGAAGACACTAGGTAGAAAGTCAATTCTTCCCGAGAATATCGAAAAAGAGCTGTCGGAATATATATATTGTTGATGGAGGTCATATTTTTCTATTATAAAAGCATTTTTGCGATAAAATACATTGGAGTAAATAATTTTGTAATTAGTTAACATTTTTTGAACTTTCTTATTTGTTTTTGGATACATTAAAGTATTTTTTGAAAATAAACAGTAAGGTTCCATATTACCACTCGATTTTCTCTAAGTCTACTTTCTGACTTTTTGTACAGAAGCCTTCAAAAACCATACTTATAGTTATACTAGCGAAAAATCCAATTAGGAACATTTAGTTTAATAGTTACCAGTACTTTTCACACAAGAAATGTGGGTGTAGTTATGATACCTTGTTTACAATTCACTAAAATATAATTAGGGTTCCATAATACCACCTTCTCCTCTAATATTATTTCTAATATGGAAAATTATGCACAGTATTCACTAGATTGTAGTAATCATAATTTCTAATTCATAACTTGTAAATATATGGTTATTTAAGAGATGTATTTCATTTTTCTTAAAATTGTATTGAGAATTTACTTCTATTTATCAAAATTGTGAAAACTGTCAATGCCTTTATTTACCAAATTAAAAGCTAACTATTTAATAGTATACTGTGTTTGACATTTTGGATAGTGGTCTTGTCTTTGTAAATGTGCATGAGATTTTTATTCAAATAGGGGATGTATTTATACACACACACGCACACACGCATAGCACTGTACAATAATCAGTCCTTATGTAAAATTAAATAATATATTCAAAAGATTAAAGATTTTTGAAATCTTCAGCACTCATATTTATTATTTTATAAATAATTGATAATATACAGTAAGACCCCGCTTAACGCTGCCTCGATATAGCATGGTATGTTTGAAGTCAAAGAAAAAAAAAAAAAAAAGCTCAAAATTTACGCTGATTCAAATTATTGTGGCATTCCATTGATTCGTATATCACACAATTATTCTTGAACATGAACCAATCAGCAAAAGGTGGCAATTTGTTGTAGCACTGTACTTTCCTTAAATCTATTTTTGTTTGGTTGTTTAGTGGAATTTTGGAAAAAATATAACATCATGGATGCCATAGGAAATATTGACTTGGCTTGGCAAGAATTAACATGAATGGAGTGTGGAAGAAGTTATGGCTGGAGGTATCCAAGAATTCTCAATGAGAAGAGCTTATCACTGTATCGTTAGATTGACCAAATCGTCAACCTAATTGATAATACAGCAGGACTAGGGGATGTAGACAAGCAGGATATTGAGGAGTTACTGAAGATTTCTGGTGAGATCCTTACCAATGACAACCTTCAAGAACTGGCAGAACAATGCATTTGTATAGAACTAGAAAATAGTAATTCTGAAAACGAAGAACTCAAAGAATTTCTCTATAGATTTCCTTAGTAAAAGTTTGATAATGATAACCAAAATTGTTAATCAAATTGTAGTGGATGATCCAGATTTTGAAAGGAGTGCAAAAGCAAGACGAGACATTTTGGATGCGATCTCTTGCTACTGACATTTGCTTAAGGAAAGAAAAAGAAAGCAACAAATGAAACTACACAACTTTATTGCAAAAAGCAAGAATTTCAGAACAACCAGGACCTTCATCACAAAAAATAAACTTTACTTATCTATGTGCATATGTTTATGTGTTATTTAACATATATTATTATGTAAATTAATATAAAAATAATTTCAAGTAAAATCTGTTTATTTTTGGTCGCATGTTCCCCTTTCCTATTTACTTTGTGTTAATATGATCTCATTTAACACTGTTTCGTTTAGCACTTTGTCATATAGGAACGTATCCCCCGCATTAAGCGGGATCTTACTGTACTTTCTTGGAAATTTTTTTGGAGATAATTTAATTTTCATGAAAAATTTTTGTATACAAACAGAAATGTTTTTATTGAGTATTTTAAATTAATAAAAAATTTCAGGCTGCAGCATATGCTTCCGAAGATGGCATACTCACAGAGAAAATGATAATGGACAGAGTCTGGGATGCAGTGAAGCAGCACAAGCAGAAAGTGGAATGGCAGACAGAAGAGGAGCTGAAGAAGCGGACACCCAGTGGCCGTTCTTGGAAGGACGCTGCATCAGCCATGGTGCCTCCTCCAGCCAGTATAGAAAAAAGTTCCAGTAGCGAAAATTAATTTAGTTCAAATATTTCATTCCATTTTAATATATAAATCATGCTCATAATAGATGTTATATAATAAATGGAATATATATATATTTATAGATAATTTAGTAAATGTAACTTTAAAATAAAATCATCTCATTTTTATTAGAAGTGGTGTAATCATTGAAGCATGACAGAAATAGTTATTTTACTCTATATATGGCAGTCAATGTGTCAAAATTTTAATCTAACATCATGTAATTAAAAGTATTTCAATACTTTTATAGGACATCTTGCATTTGCTATTTTTCTCATAGATAGTGACAAAAAAGTAATTTACTAATCACAAAAACTTAAAACACTCATTTTTTAATATATAAACTAGTTACATGATGTCAATAAGCTATTTGTACTGAAGAAGAATGTGTGTTGTTCTACATAATTTAAACAAAATTTTATCAGTTGAAGTGCAGACAACTTTGTTCATTGTTTCTATTCAGAATATAATAATATACTTCATTTTTCCAATTAGCACATCAATATTTCTTTCTTGGGGTCATTAAAAAAATGAATTCTTTCATAACTTTGTATCCAAAAAAATACTCCATTCTGTGAAAAGGTTTGGTTGCTGTGTAATACAGTAGAGCATTGTTTATCCGAAAGCGTTCCAGTCGGACTGTGTCATGCTGAATCGAACATTTTTGATACTAGATTAACTTCTAAAGTAAGTTTTTGTTTTTATATTTTTCAATATATTTATTTTGTTTGTTCAAAATAAAGAAATACTTTTTAACGATACAATAGCCATGATTATTATTTTAAAAAATTTATGTTAGGCTTAACATCAATGAAAATTCAACCAAAGCGACATGCAATGGAGAAAAATTTCAACATGGGATAGGTTAATATATTTTTTCATACATAATCAGTTATCCGGACAACTCCAGTCCCCAATTGATTTGGATAAATGACGCTCTAGTGTTTTTTACTTGAATTAAATTTCCAATTTTGCTTCAAGATCAATAAATCTTTCTTAAATAAATGAGAGAGAAAACAGAAAAGATTAGCAAATAAATTTAACAAAGATAGAATAAGTTAGCTTTCTCATAATTTGCTGATTCATTATTTTATTTCAAGATATACAGGAAATCCTCATTAATTTGAACTCAGATATTTTGAAATCCTGTTAGTTCATAACTATGCTATTTGTCCTGGCTGGGAATATAGAGGTTTGGTTAGTTCAAAATACGGCTATTTTGAAATTCAAAGTGAAAATTCTGTTCTAACTGTGATAGGGACATATTAACTTGTTTTTTTAAATCAAAGTTCCTCCATAGTATAAAAGAACAACTCTAATTTGGTCATTATGACTTTGTTTTTATACTAACACATTCTTGAGTGTCACCTTACCCAAGAACTATCCTTTTTTCTCTTATCTATAAAATATGACTGGGTTTTGGGATTGGGCTTCAAGTAGCAGATTGAGATATTTGTAGGTCTCTAGACTACTATATTTGGATGACTTACTACTTTTTGGGCCACTTTAAAAATAATTTGGGCTACATTTTGAGGAATTCTGCTTTGCTTTACTTATAAAATCTATCTGGCAACCTGAGAGGTTCTCGCTGGACATTGCTGTTGACCGGCAATTTATTTTTATTATTAATAATTATTAATTTACAAATACATATACAGAATGCTACTTCTGTTTTCTGTGAGCTTAATAAATTACATCAGTTACACGGCATTTTGCATATTATACAGAAATATTTAAATCTTGGATAATTCAAAATTACAATTATTTTGTCCCTTGAATTTTGAACTAATGATTTCCTGTATATCGTAATGAGAGAAAAAATAAAAAAGATATTTGTTGTTTTATCTATTGTTGATATTCTATGTGCTTCTGCATTTCAATCTTCTGTGCTTGATCCAATCATTTTCATGTAAAACATTTAAATAGTTTCATTTCTCTATAGAATTTTCAAACTATGTAGTTATAGTTCCTGAAGATTGTGAAGTAATTTTATGTAATGCTAGTCTTCTGATACACTCGATTAGTCATTTTTATTTAATAATCGGCATACTTAATACAGTATGCTGATTATATGCTGCAATAATGGTCACTATATGTCAACTAAATAATTTTGCTTAGCACTTATTTATGCACTCTCAAAAGCAGTACATGTATTGCAAAAGGAAAAATTTATATGGATTGAATATTAACATTGCTTACAAAATTCCATTTATGTAATATGGGCTAAATAGATGATCATACTGCAGGTAAGTCAGACTCACAATGGAGTAATTTTCTATTCCTCACCCACACTGGTCATGTCTGAAATTGAATCCAACATGATAAATTACGATGTCTATATTGGATAGAAATCCAATACAATAGATTGATACTGAAGTTATTAGGAATAATATATAACTTAAAGAAATAAATTCAACTACAATGTAAATATGGCACTTTATAAGCAGAATCACAGAAACAATACAATAAATGAAAATACATAAATACAGTTTTTAGTATAACTTACATCAGAATGCTATGCATCTGGTTAGCTCTTGTTTTTAGAAGAATATTACAATAAATTCTTACAGCATTATCTTGTTAGAAAATATTTTAAAATATTTAATATATATTCATTATAATTATTTAAAATCTTTTTTCCATTTATCACCAATTATAAAAAAAAAGGTGGTTTGGTAAGTAAAAACATTTTGGACCTTCCATTCTTTCAAATATTGGCATCTTTNGTGTTCAATTTGTAATAAAATCTATATGTTTACATGTGAATAAAACTAATTTGTAATTTTATATTAATTATAAAATTTGGAGATAATTATAAAATTATAAATATTTATAATTTTATAATTATCTCCAAATTTTATAATTAATATAAAATTACAAATTAGTTTTATTCACATGTAAACATATAGATTTTATTACAAATTGAACACAACAAGTTTCAATCTATTGAAAGATGTATTGATATGTTTCAAAGCATTAATTGAACTTGGAATGCAATAATGAATATAAAATTTAGAGAAAGAAAGAAATAATTTTCCAAATTATTTCTAACTATTCAAAGTGTAACAAATGATTATTGGATTGAACTTTGTGTATGATTCAGCTTCTATTCTACATTTTATATTGGTGCTACCATATACTGCACATACTGTATGTTCTTAAATATTGCAATAAACAAACCAACTCAATATATTTAATATGGAGATGTTTATTCAGTATTATGATTATCAGAATTTATATAGAAAGTTCTTGCATTGAACCATTTAAACATTAAAAAATTTTAAAGCAACTATTTTAAACTAAAAAGTAGCCAACAATGAAGTATGAAATCTATAAACAATAGGAACTAACCACTTTCATTAATATAAAAAGACATAAATATAGGAACTAATTACATTTATTTGTGCCATAGTTTGCCAGATTGAGTCCATAGATCTACTAATCCAAGATAGATCATAAAAAATTTCTGTACTATCTTTACTTTTGTACATATTTAACAGATTAACTTCATCATTACTTCTTTTAAGTTTTAAAAAAAAAGAATGTAAAATATCCTAAAACAGTAAATTTTCTTTTAAGCATATGTTTTTAATGTACCCATTGATAATTGAGATATTCTATTACTTTAATCCAATATTTTTAGATACTTTTGATGTGTCTAACATGGAGTTTCCTTACGAAGAAACACCACAAAATATATAAGCATTTTTAACTTGCCACACACTAGATAATATAGATAAGAATCAGAATCCTTTTAAGATTGAAAATGAATGTTTTTCTGTACATTAGGGTTGGAAGCGGGAATCAGAATTCATATCAGTCAGAAAATGGCAAGAAGAGAGTACACTGAGATGACAATGAGTGATAGCAGTAGTGAAAAGGATGAGATGATGATTGCTTTGTCTTGCTGTACATGTAAAAAAGGAAAAAAATTTTAGGGGCACAGCATAAATAATAATTGTATGATATGCTGTAATAAATTTAATTCAACAGTAATCAATTAACTTCTCATCATAAATCATTTTTAATAAAAGAAACAAAACAATCAATTGCAAACAAAAAATTTCCAGCAAATGGAAACCAGCATACATTTGAGCATGTCTTTGCATTGCATGATGCAATAAAAGGAAGTTGTCATGCCTGCACACCATTTTGGAATCTGTCAAAATTGTCTCACTTTGGAAATCAATTCCAATTCAAATTAGTGTGCAAGATTCCATTTATATGCTTATTAAAAAATTCTGATATGATCTGATGTACAGTGTGACAAGGTTTAAAATTCATTTTTGACAAGACTATGTCTTGTTTATAAAATCGTACTGCCACCCGTTCTTATCAGCATAGAGGTATGAAGGAGTACATGTTAAGAGTTGATATTTGGCACAGAGTATTAGGTGCCCAAATCATTTGCGCATAAAAAAATCCAGACTCGTAGGTAGTCGGGGGACTGAGAATCGAGTCAAAATAAAATCCAAAATGGCGACCCTCTTCTACAAACAGGCAAAACAGCCACCTCATCCCACTGAAGTTGGGTAGGGGAGAGTACCACCCACCCACAGTCATTCTAAGAAGTGAACTCTGACCTTAGGACTGAACATGTAGTTTCTTCTATGTTAAATAAAATTTGCAATCTAATTTTGTAAATTTGGGAATGCTTCAAATATGACGTTAAAACGGTTTTATGTTGTTACAAGTGGGTTTTTTTTAACATTATCTAGTATAGTAAAATCATAGGACTGATAAAAATTTGACATTATATTACAGTTGTCATTACATTCAATGACATTATAATCGGGTTAAACTGTATATTGTTCGTGCAAAATAAAAAAATAATTTTGGACGATACAATAGCCACGATTATTTTTTCAAAAACGGGAACTTTTTGTTATACATTGACAAAAATTCAACCCAGGCTGACACGCAATGGAGAGAAATTTTGAAATTAGATAAGTTAATTTCATCAAAGATGCATTGTGGACGATCTCATGGTCATGACCGGCAAAGTTTGAATGATTATGCCCAAAAGCAGTGATATCAAAGAAGATAGGAAAATGAGAACGAGACCTGCCTTGAGCATCAAAGTGATTCTGTCTCCAAGACATAGTCTTGTCCCAAATACGGTTTTGCCGTTTTACTTGTGTTGTGTGTTCTGTTTCTATATTATTTATGAATTAGTGGTCATATAAGGTGGAAATTTTATTGAGTTTGCATTAAAAATATTTTTATCTGTTTAACTCGGCTCCCCAAGATTAAATCTTGAATGCACCACTGATAGCAATAAAGAGAGATTTCTGTTTTTAGTTATTAAAAAAAGCAGTTCCCAATTCCTCAACTAATCAACAATTTTTTTAAATAAATTTTAAGAAGAGGATTATTTTATTCAAAAATCTGAATAAAGAATAAAACAATCTCCATGTTTCCATCCAATTCAAATAATTCAAAGATAGCTGAAAATGCATTATCACAAATCCTTGTTGACTTTTGCTGTCAATAGAGAGAATTTTTATGAATAAAACAAGGATTTCTGATGGAGAAGAAAGAAATTTAAATCTGAAGATGATCCGTGAAAGATTAAAATGCATATTGAAATCATCATTTATAAGAAGATCAATGTTACCTCAAGTAAATTTATTAATATTATCACTAGCTTACTAAAGAAGAAGAATCATTATTAAAATTAGACAGACAGAATCACTAACAAGATTGACAAGGATTTGATACTTAAATCTCAAACCAATTCATAGGTGAATCAGACCAAATAATCCAATATGGTTGATCAGGTGATAGTTAATAACTGACCTTTTTGATAACAAATTTGATGGTTATTCTGTTACACTTTAAATAGTTCCAAATAATTTAATCTGCTATTGTATAAACAAATTAAGCCTGAAATTTTTACATTAAGTCCTAAACATAATCAAATAATACTGGATGTTTTTGATATTATAAGTCTATTTTTAGCCTATTGTAAGACTTTATAACATTATAATTTTTCAGCCTTGTATGCTGAAAAATCTTGCAATATTTGATTTTATGATCTCTTATTAATTATATGTTTTAATTTTCAAATTAGATAACATTAGAAGAATATTAGAAGATTTTTCAAAATATTACTTCGCTTTTACTCATAATAATTAGAAAAATGATCTTTATACATATAAAAACTATTACTGCTTAAAAAATTTTTTAAATTAAATTGTTTCTTCATTATTTGCTATTCCATAACAATGTTTAATGCACAATGAACTTAGAATACTTAGAATGTACTCAATGTACAATATTAAGAAACTTTCTGCAATATTTCACATATCACATTTTTGTTTTTGATTCATCTTTTGAATATATAAAATTTAATAAGTATAGCATTTGCTTTACTTCAATTTTATTATGGCATATGTACAATATTAAAAATATAGCAGTAATTCATCAATAAAGTTCTCAAATATTTTTAATAAAAATTTTACAAATAAAAAAAAAAACTTCTAAATTGTGGTTCTCAATCTGTTTTGATATATATATAGATGCAATGAAAAAGAGCAATTTATCACATTGGAAATTATAATTTTTGTCCAATAGCAAAGCCACAATAGGCCTTCACAATTTAACATTATGGACGGAGACAGTTTGAGAACATTAATGTTACCGTTACCTTAAAAAACGGCATTGGCATCATCTTTATAATTACCCTTTATATCATAAAAGTACATCTTACACATGCATTATTAAATATGAAATTATAAAATGTCCAAATTCTTTTATTCCAATACAATAAGAGTTTGGATATAAACCTGACAATTTTTGACCAATAAAATTAAATTTTCTTTTGTATTTTCAAATAGCCAATAATTTTTACATTACAAAATAGATATGTTAAAAAAATGAACATTTTATTAATTTCTAAAATAAGTTATGCTGCTTAGAAGCTGCTATTACTGAAGCCTGCAAAACCATCAAATTTGATTGAAAACCATCAAATTTAGTATTTTTTTCTTTTTATAAAATTTGAATTAAAAAAATATATATATCATTAAACATATTATTATTTTATTTTATATATAATATATATATTTAAGCTATAAAAGTTATGCAATAATGCTATTTGTGTTGTATATCATACACATAAAATAAATTATACTTAACTACATATATATAAATACAGTATACAAAGACACTTGTATGAAGAAAAAACTTCACAATTTAAAACAAATTTTCACTAGAATATACACTTACAAACAATTTTTTAATGAGTGATATAAATTAAATGATTATATTAATTTTGAAAAATTTTCTTTATTTTTTTTCACTATCATAAAAATATATTCTGGATTAATAAATTTTGATGTATCAAATTAAAGATTTTAAAAATAAATTTTAGTGTTGATTAAATAGTTTATATAAAAGAATGAATTTATAGAACATCTCGAATGATGTTTATATAGATTATTCAATCAACAGAATGGAATATATTGCATTTTAGTTATGCAACTTTGTAAATTATTTTATTAAAATTTTTTAATTCATGTCTTAAATCATTTATCAATGATTTATACTATTTTTATAATCAGATAAATTATTTTATATAAAACCATTTTTTAAATTTACCAATGAAATTTATGATTGAAATATATTTACATCATTTTAGCATAATAAAAACTCCTCATTATCATGATAATATATCTAAGATAATGTTTTAAAGTATTATCTACATTATTGTATACAGAAAAACCCTTATTTCTTTTTTAAAAAGTAATTTATCTAAAAAAGTTAAAAGATTTCAAAATTATTTATAAAATTTATATATATTATATCAATTACTTTTAATCATTTTAAAAATAAACCTTTAGTATATATAAATATGTGCATACATATATATATACTTGTGATTAATTTAACTTCTTAGTTTCTCTTCAACATGTATGAAAATTGATTAATAATATATTTAAATTTGCTGAGGTAAAGCTAAATCCAGTTTTGATGTTTAGTTATTCATTTAGATGGAGTAATCATCTCTGTGGATTCTGTAAACAAAAGAATAATCAAATCAATATAATAAACACCACTTGATAGACTGCAATGATACAATAAACACTTCAATCCAAAAACCATAAATTGTATTCCAGTGAGGTTTAATTCAAAATAAAAATTTTTCAACTAACATTTTCAATCTGCAATTGGAGATCTTCAGGTCTGTATATTTTAAATAATATATACAGACCTGAAGATTATTTGATCAATTCTATTGGTTTAACGTGGTTTAATGCGCTTTGTTCAAATGTCGTTGTCTGCATATTTCATTTTTGCAAGTAGACCAACCTTGAAGGATTTTTTTCTATGTTTGGAATCAGATTTTCCTGAATTAGATGTTGATGAGAGAATTTCGTCTCATGTAAAGTTTGTGATTAAGTTCGGCTTACAACTTGTTGATGCAGATTGCGATAAATGAGATGGTTGGCATTGGCAGTTTTTTTTATGTAACAAATGTAAGGCAAGCAGTTCAGCATTTGAAAGAACTTGATTAAAAGTTAAATTTTTTTTTAGAAATAAGTTCTTGCTAGCATTGCATTGTCATGGCGGTGGTCAGGACTGTTTGTGCTCCTGACGGACTCCTCCCGGAAAGGAGCCACCAGCAGGCCGCTGAGTGTATAACATCACTAGTTATTGATTCATAGTAGTTCTTGAACATACATATCAATAACTAGTGATGTTATACACTTGGTGGTCTGCCGGCGGCTCCCGTCCAGGAGGAGTCAGTCAGGAGCACGAACAGTCGTGACTGGAAGTGCTGCCATGATGGTGCACAAATTTATGTTGAATATGTTTTCTAAATAGTTAGAATTTCCTCTTTTTCCTCTAATGGCCTATATCTGAAATCCAAGAACTAAGTTTACTGATTTTTAATCCCCTTCTCTAACCTGTTCCTAACTTTTTTTGGCTCAACTTTAATCTCTCTCTATCTCATTACATTAATAAACACAATATAAATTGTGAATAACATGTATCATAGCTCTTTTCTCACTGCAAACTACAACAATTCACCTAATATTAATAAATAAAAAAAAGATATGGACTTAACCTTGATAAACTCCAAAGCCATCCTAAATCCTAATTCTCTTTTTTTGTAACACTTTAAATCTATCCTATCTTAATATATGGTTTAGCATTTCTATACATTTCCATAATTAGATTATATAATTTTTATCATTCCCTTTTCTTCCTGTTTCAGAGAGTTCTCGGAATCCTGAAGATATCCCATATTTAAAAATGAACACAAATTGTAATCAACAAATAAACATTCTAATCAATTTAAAGTCTAAAATCGTAAAAGTGACAGTTAATATAAATCTATCTATATAACCCATTGAATGCGTGTCCGTGTAACGGTATGCCAAAAATGGGCACTAGAGGCGCCCTAGCAATGATTTTAAATTAACAATAAATTATTTTCATTTGTAATAGGAATTTATTATTGATATGAATTATTATTTATACCACAGAATGGTATAAATATTTATTATATGCCTTGATTAACCTTGCACCGCACGTTTACAACATCCCGTGACTCACAAGTCAGTGAACATTGCGCATTGACTCACGGGAAATTTGTTGAAAAAAATACATTTAAAATTGAGGTTTACAACCAAAGGTAAATAAACAAATTAAACTATTTTAAAGTTTTATAGAATATTTAATAGATAGAAATATAGATCCATATGATGCAATTGGGACTTTAACAGAGCTGTAGAGCATATTGATAGGAACAAAAAAGTCAAAGAAACCATGCCACATGGAAATTTGTAAAGAATGCCCACTAGGGGGCGTCCCAGGCTACTAGTATAAATATAAACGACATTTACAAATAAATAATGTTCAAAATTGGATTAAAATAGAATTTACAAGCAGTCCTTTCTAAAAGACAAAAGAAATATCTGAGTTAAAAACTAGAAAATTTCATATATTAAAAGAATTTTGAATGTTTACAGCTGACGCTCACTATGCTCCAGCCAAACTTAGGACTATGCACGATTGAAGTGCTCAAAGTGGCAGAAATATTTATTAAACCAGAATAGTAGTATTACAGCTATTGGTAGTGCAAGGACCAGAATATCTATCGACTCTGGTAATAGTAGCCCACACCTGAATGAATGTAAATGAAAGAAGGGAAAGTGCTTTTAGCCATTTCTACAGCAAAAATTGGAAAATAATTTGTATATATACAATATTTATTTTATTGAAGATTATATTAATTTTGAAAAATTTTCTTTATTTTTTTTCACTATCATAAAAATATATTCTGGATTAATAAATTTTGATGTATCAAATTAAAGATTTTAAAAATAAATTTTAGTGTTGATTAAATAGTTTATATAAAAGAATGAATTTATAGAACATCTCGAATGATGTTTATATAGATTATTCAATCAACAGAATGGAATATATTGCATTTTAGTTATGCAACTTTGTAAATTATTTTATTAAAATTTTTTAATTCATGTCTTAAATCATTTATCAATGATTTATACTATTTTTATAATCAGATAAATTATTTTATATAAAACCATTTTTTAAATTTACCAATGAAATTTATGATTGAAATATATTTACATCATTTTAGCATAATAAAAACTCCTCATTATCATGATAATATATCTAAGATAATGTTTTAAAGTATTATCTACATTATTGTATACAGAAAAACCCTTATTTCTTTTTTAAAAAGTAATTTATCTAAAAAAGTTAAAAGATTTCAAAATTATTTATAAAATTTATATATATTATATCAATTACTTTTAATCATTTTAAAAATAAACCTTTAGTATATATAAATATGTGCATACATATATATATACTTGTGATTAATTTAACTTCTTAGTTTCTCTTCAACATGTATGAAAATTGATTAATAATATATTTAAATTTGCTGAGGTAAAGCTAAATCCAGTTTTGATGTTTAGTTATTCATTTAGATGGAGTNATACAATAGCCGCGATTATTATTTTAAAAAGTTTACAATAGGCTTAACATTGACGAAAATTCAATGTGAAGCGACACTCAACGAAAAAAAATTTCAACACGGGATAGTGTAATATATTTTTTCGTACGTAATCAGTTATCCGAAAAATAAGTTATCCGAACAACACCAGTCCCCAATTGATTCGGATAAATGACGCTCTACTGTATATTCTTTTTGAAACTCATAAAGCATTACTTGCCTGATATGCTTTTTATGAAAAGATACTATGACTTGATTTTATTCAAACAAAATGTGAAGTAAAGAGTTTAAAGTAAGATTCTAAACAAAAAATAAAATCTCACATTATCTACAGGTATAATATGTTAAATATCACAACTGTTATAATTAAATCACACATCTATGTTAAGATGTGGAAGTCCAGGTATGTGACCAATAAACACAATTTTCATTTTATTATGCAGTATTTATATATTTTATTTATGGTTTTCATATTTTAATTTATTATTAGAACATTTAATTGTGTTATTTATACCTTAAATTATGTGTATTTGCTGTTTTAAGTTTATTGAAATGAATATTGTTCATAGTCTGGGAATGGATTAATTCACTTTCCATTATGTCTAATGGGAAAAATTGATTCGTACTTCAAACGCCTCCCTGGAATAAGTTAAATTTGAAGTATGAGGCACCACTGTATCATGTTTCTCAGAGGGAAAAAAAATCATATATATTTTATAATTAAAAAAAAAAAGAATTGTTATAAATACATACTTACTTTTTAAACAGCTTTTGAATATTTACATATCCCCAGTAATTAAATGCAGAATATTTTCTTCCTTAGCTTCCACATCCTATTAAAGATAAAATTTATCTTTATTTTATTTAAATTATAAAACTACACTTGTTGAAAATTTAGTTTATCCAGATTAATAATATCAATGGATGTTTAATACACTTTGAAAATTTATTGGTTAATAATTAGTTAAATGAAATAATGTATATGTCATATCAAATTTTTGATGCATAACTTTTTAATGGATTAGTAAGTTCAGCAAGTTATGTATTAGCTAAAAAATTTTAATGGTTAAAAGTTGTTAACTTTTTAATCCATTAGTAAATTAAATTAAATATGAAATATGAATGTATTCAAAATTTTATTAAAAGTTAACTATTAATTCAATTTTGCATACACTTATACAGAAATTTCATATTATGCTCAATAAAACAATTTTTCTATATGCCTAGTGATCAAATGAAAAGTTTACTTGCAAAGAAGTTTACTTGCATTATGAAAGTTTACTGTACTTTCATAATGCACCTGACCAACTTGTCACGCAGTACCAATTTATTTATTTAGTTTGAAATGTTATCTCTTTAGTCTGTGGTAAACAAATGTTCAACACTTAAATTTTTCCTGTGATGTATAGGACAATAGAAAGCATGGGTGGACAAGATCACCAAAGTTACAAATGAACTTTTCATTTGACACATCCAATATATTCTATTCAAAGCAGATGGCTCATGGTACTAAGCTATTTACTCATTATCCTTGAATTCATACAACTCCATATATCAAGACATCATACAGGATGATCTAACTTACTAAAAATGTTTTTATCATATTTACCCAATTGTGAGTGGTTGTGTGTTCTAACTTATAATTTAGCAGGCATTTGATTTTTCTTTGGCAGTTACCAAATATCACAGAAAAATTTGCCATAATTATGCATATAAATTAAAGAATATTAATTAAGTGACTCTCATTTCTGAGGCACTTAGCATTCTTGAAAATTATAGGCTTTACTTTTCTTTTTTCTAATGCCATTTGCTTAAATCAATTGAGCTATATACATCTATTATTCTCAAATGTCTTGTAAATATTTAGAAGCAATAGATGTATGGCTTATATAAATTCATAATGTAAGAAGAGTCTGAAATCTAAATCACTAAATCTGGCAATTTAGATTTCTGTATGGTTTACAGATTTATATCTTTGCATTTATCTATTTAAATACAGTATATTAGTGCATTAGTTTATGCAATATAGAAATTGAATTTTGTTCCTAAAGAGAACAATATATCTAAATTTATTTGTAAAAAAGTTTTAGAAAATTTTTAAAAAATCTACCAACATCCCAAAAATATTAAAAATATCTATAAAATTAAATTAACTAACCTCATTCATGTCATCTTCAGTTGTATTAAATCCTAATCTCATACCATTACAATTGGAATTAATTTCATCTTCTAAATCAGATTGTAAATATTCTAATTGTTGATTTACTAATTTAGGCTGCTGCATTGATTGTAATACTTCTAAATCTTTCCTCAACACTTCTTCCATATTAGTGGGTTCAATCTGATAACGGAATATTGTATTTGCATCCATTTTCACCCCATTCATCCATGGAGGCTCATGACGAATTAAACAAGGTGACTTATTAGCATCTTCTTTGGTATCCAACTCCATATCCTACAAAAAAAATTTTAAAATTATACATTTTTTAATATTTTACTTTCATGACTGTGTAGTGCATAAGCACTATTGTATAGTAGTTTCCGTTATTTATGTATATCGGGTTTTATTGTAAAATTTCGTTTTCTTTCCTGATATCGGATTGCAACGGGTAGAACCCGTCGCCCTTGCTGATTGGCCAAGGACTAACATCACGTCACACTCAATGGCGGGGGATATAAATGTTTGGACTCCCGTCCAGAGAGGAACTTTTTGGATTTCCCTTCGGCCCTGGCTTGTCGTGAGCTAAGAATAGACTATGTGGTGCAAGGACAAAGAAGAAAGAAAACGACACGTGTGGACTTTCAATTAAGGAGTGAACGGAATCCGAATCCATCGGTGAAAATACGTCAACGGTCCAAGAAACAAGTAGGAATACAAATACAGGAAACTTCAAAGAACATCCCAAGACT